AACAAATAATTACGTTCTGAGGAGAATGGCGTGCCGTGCAGTTACCAGGGGATCTGGAGGCACAACAAATAATTACGGTCTGAGGAGAATGGCGTGCCGCGCAGTTACCAGGGGATCTGGAATCACAACAAATAATTACGGTCTGAGGAGAATGGCGTGCCGTGCAGTTACCAGGGAATATGGCTGAAGCTCAACACTCAAGGGAAGGGCGAGACAGATAGACTATGTGACATTTACTGGTGCCATCGGAACTGGAACTCTTCGCTTGCTGCTGAAGATTGGGACAGAGCGCTTAGGGAGTGTCCCAAGTGCTGTGGATTCCTAATTCAACATTCAACAAACCATACACAACCGATACAAGTCAAATTCTAGGCTCAATAAAAATCTTTTACAATTAAATATATCAGTCTCATACAATATATCAGTCTCATACAATGTATCAGTCTCATACAATATATCAGTCTCATACAATATATCAGTCTCATACAATATATCAGTCTCATACAATGTATCAGTCTCATACAATATATCAGTCTCATACAATATATCAGTCTCATACAATATATCAGTCTCATACAATATATCAGTCTCATACAATATATCAGTCTCATACAATATATCAGTCTCATACAATATATCAGTCTCATACAATATATCAGTCTCATACAATATATCAGTCTCATACAATATATCAGTCTCATACAATATATCAGTCTCATACAATATATCAGTCTCATACAATATATCAGTCTCATACAATATATCAGTCTCATACAATATATCAGTCTCATACAATACATGCCCTAAATAAATTTAAATTGAGAACCACAATCAATCTTACACAATAAACATTCTCTATAAATCTTATAACCTTTGTAAATTTTATGCTATGACCTTCAAAATCTCACAAACTACTGACCTGTATATATAATAATGATAGAGATGATTGGCACCTTTACGTCTTTTCAGATGATAGTGTTATACTGCACTATGAGGAGGCATGAGACTCACAGCCCATGGCGTTGGCGAGTGTGACTAGCAAGACCTGCCAGTGTCAAGAAAAGTCTTCCACAATGATAGCACAGGATTTCAGGACCCATGTTGTCAATATTTGTGTTTAGTGTGTTTTTTCTCAGACGCTCAGCTCTCATCCTTTCTGCAATCATTTCTTCCTCCATTCCTATTCCCTTCCTGATGTACTCCCTCTACACAACAAGATCCACGATCCACGTGACTTAGGACATTGATCTACATATATTTCAAACAATATGTACCTAGTCGCAGAAATCAACATTAAGAACACAAACATTCAGATCATGTTTGGAGTGGTCAGGACAGACCTGAATTGAGTTAAGAACTGACATCATAGTACCCAGGACATTTCCTTATGCGCTCCATCCTCATCTTCATCAGCCAGTGAAGAGTTCCAATTCCAATGGTACCAGCAGGGGTATGATAATTATATGTCCATCTTGCGTTTCCTCTGAATGCGGTGTGTCGGCCAGATCCTAGAGTCAGTCCACCCCCCCCCCCATCCCTGTAGTGATCAGTTCATGCTTCTGCCCTTTCATATTGTCCTCAAAAGCCTCGCCTACATCACAGGTCATCATGCAGGTCTGCAGCCTTACAGATATCCATCCAGGTCATCATGCAGGTGTGCAGCCTTACAGATATCCATCCAGGTGAGGAATGGATACCAGCATCTAAAGGACGCAATCTCACATTGTTGGGAATAGAATCCTGCAGCTGTCAACACCAAGATGTGCGCTCTTATCAGTGACAAGTCAGATGAGACAGATATGTTGATCTTCACAGATGGGTCCATTAAACGAGGACATAAAAGTGGAGGGGCATTTAAAGCTCGCTCTTCAGGCAGAAGAGTTCAGGAAGCCAGTGGTGCCTTCTTCGTGACTACCAGCAGCATGATGATGGAGGTGATGGCGGTGACACAAGCTTTCATGTGGCTACAATCACAAGACTATTCCTGCGTGTGTGGGTTTGCTAAGTGATTCTTTCAGCATGATCTGGCGGGTTGACACAAGCTTTCATGTGGCTACAATCACAAGACTATTCCTGAGTGTGTGGGTTTGCTAAGTGATTCTTTCAGCATGATCTGGCGGGTTGACACAAGCTTTCATGTGGCTACAATCACAAGACTATTCCTGCGTGTGTGGGTTTGCTAAGTGATTCTTTCAGCATGATCTGGCGGGTTGACACAAGCTTTCATGTGGCTACAATCACAAGACTATTCCTGCGTGTGTGGGTTTGCTAAGTGATTCTTTCAGCATGATCTGGCGGGTTGACACAAGCTTTCATGTGGCTACAATCACAAGACTATTCCTGCGTGTGTGGGTTTGCTAAGTGATTCTTTCAGCATGATCTGGCGGGTTGACACAAGCTTTCATGTGGCTACATCACAAGACTATTCCTGCGTGTGTGGGTTTGCTAAGTGATTCTTTCAGCATGATCTGGCGGGTTGACACAAGCTTTCATGTGGCTACAATCACAAGACTATTCCTGAGTGTGTGGGTTTGCTAAGTGATTCTTTCAGCATGATCCGGCGGGTTGAGGCAGGCTGGTTATGCAGACAGTGGTTTGAGTCTTTGGAAAACTCTCCTGTGTGTGCAATTACCTTCATATTTGTCCCAGGGCATGAAGGTGATGTTAGTAATTAAAGAGCTGATAGACCAGCAGGTGCTGCATTAACTGAAGATGGCCGGCCCATGGATCACGCAGAGATTGTCAATGCCTTAGAGAGACATAGAACATTCTGAGGATTTTGGAAGCAGTATGTCCACATCACTGCTAAGAATATGGGAATTGGGAGTAAAGATCGGCACAGCCAACATGAGAAGCACACCGGACGCGAAGTTTTGTCAACCAGCATAGGACTGGCACTATTAACTGTGTGACACTGATGAATATGTAGAGAGGGGGATCTGAGCACCTATGGAGTCTGGAGTGCTGTAAAGATAATCCAACTCATAACTCAGCTGTCACCTTTTATTGACTTAGGTCATCTCAATTAAGAGCTGCATAATATAATTTCTGTGATTCTGCAAAAATATTATTCTCAGTTCTCTATGCCATTAATCCATATTTATGAAGTCTTCCCCTCACTGTATACTTGTTCTAACATTTCAGTGTGGCTCGCTGTGGTGGATAGTACCATTTCATTCTTGTTAGATGTCCAAACCCCTTCATTTGTTGTTCTTTGATGACCTGTAAGACTGGCTGACTGGCTTTTTAAGTAGCATTTGTTTGAAGTATTTCGTATTCTGTCTTTCCTTAAAACTCTTGCAGCTCTTCTAAGGCATTTCATCTGTGCTGTCACATTTTTACGTTTATCATGGGATGTAAATGTCCATGTATGGCACTGATAGCATAGGGTTGGCCAAAAAATAGTTCTGATAAGATTTACTTTATTACTCCAGGGTATCTGCTTGTGTGTCAACAGGTAAGATAGCTTTATTACTTCGGGGTATCTGCTTGTGTGTCAACAGACAAGATAGCTTTATTACTCCGGGGTATCTGCTTGTGTGTCACTAGGCAAGATAGCTTTATTACTCCGGGGTATCTGCTTGTGTGTCAACAGACAAGATAGCTTTATTACTTCGGGGTATCTGCTTGTGTGTCAACAGGTAAGATAGCTTTATTACTCCGGGGTATCTGCTTGTGTGTCAACAGTTAAGATAGCTTTATTACTTCGGGGTATCTGCTTGTGTGTCAACAGGTAAGATAGCTTTATTACTTCGGGGTATCTGCTTGTGTGTCAACAGGTAAGATAGCTTTATTACTTCGGGGTATGTGCTTGTGTGTCAACAGTTAAGATAGCTTTATTACTCCGGGGTATGTGCTTGTGTGTCAACAGGTAAGATAGCTGCCCCAGTACTTGATGAGCTAGCTGTGTTTTTAAAACTGCTTTTTGGAGTGGTACAGACAGGGGATGGTGGTGGTTGTGAGCCCCAGGATTTAGGGCTGCGAGGTTGTAATGACAGCCCGGACTGGATAGGTTAGGATGTTTATTCTTGCCCCTGACTGAAACACATCCATCACCTTCCTGGGGATCAAACTTGTGTCTCTTGCATGACAGTCCTGACTGGATAGGTTAGGATGTTTATTCTTGCCTCTGACTGAAACACATCCATCACCTTCCTGGGGATCGAACTTGTGTCTCTTGCATGACAGCCCATGTTGTAACCCCTTTGCAAGCCGTTCTCGCAGAATAAATGATATACATAAATTATAAAAACAGCACAAGACCCAGCTTCTATAAATTTCTTCAAAAACTAATAACTTCTTTTTTTTTCATTCGCTTGAAAAAAATTATGTATATCTGCAGTGTTGTCTCTAGTATGAACTTCACTGTCTTTTGTAATTTACTCAGCGACCTGTAAAGTTTGACTTGCACCGATGTTTATCTTGGCCAATATTTGGAGGAAATGATCTGTTGTCTCAGGTGCCAATCCACATGAGCACATGGCTGGTTCGCTGATTTTAAATTTTGTGTACATGTGGCTGTGAAGTCGTTTGTGTCCTGTTCTGTGTCGTAGAATAATAACTTGTTCTGGTCTGTCCATAAAACTAATTTAAAAAAAATTTTTTTTTTCAGGAAGTGCTAGTGAGTTGGGAAATGAGCAGACAGACGGACTTGCTGATTGTCCATGACTTGGTGGTGAATGACTGCCTGACATCTAAATGTTGTCAAGGCCTTTTAGGAGCAAGTGAACAATGTGGAAAGCCTTTTTGACACTGCAAGAAGTACAAACAGATCATCATGGTCATGCAGTCGGGAATGACCAGCAGATCTGGGTGACACTCATTGTCAGAACAAAGGCAAGACAGACAGACAATCAAACTGCTACTAGTAGCCATGACAGGGATGTTCAGAGAGCTGTGATGTCAGTTTTCAACTTAACAACAACAATTAGAAACATGCACATATCAGCCAGGCTGGTTGAGGTAACAAACCCAATCTGGAACCTGGCCAGCTGCATGTCTTATTTCTTGACAGCCATGGTGGCCTCCCACTGGTAGGTTGCATTGAGGAACTCTGGGAATGAATTGTTTGTCAACAGACAGTAGATGGCTCCAGCGCTGAGACGGATACTGGGGAAGATACATGTCATGACTTGTGTTATCATTGCCACAGCTAAATACTACACATCTTTTTCTCTCTTCTTTGAAGCATTTGAACCTCAAACTTCAAACATCTATCGCCTGGACAAAACCTGCCATTTGTTGCAGAAATTGGTTCACAGCTCTAAGTTTCATTTCTGTGCTGCTGTCTACTGATTCTAGAGGTCAAAGTTCTCAATATATTGATAACCTAAAGTGCATATCTGTTAGTGAGACTTGTAGAGATTTCTGCTGTACAGAAATCTGGCTTACCACCAACTGCCAGGGATGTGATAAAAACATGGCTGACTGCAGCTGAGATGTGAACACAACAACCACTAAGATGCTCAATGGAGGAAAAAGGAAAAACGCTCACACACACAACCAAACATTTAATTCTTATGCGACCTAACCGGCTTTTTATGATTTTTCTGTTTTTTGTCCTGTGACAAAGAACTGGTCAAAACCTCCAGTTGCATCTGTGCACATCCTTTCTTTCCATTCTGTTGAGTTTTCTAGTTAGTGTTGTGTTGAGCTTCCATTGAGTTTTCTAGTTAGTGTTTTGTTGAGCTTCCATGGAGTTTTCTAGTTAGTGTTGTGTTGAGCTTCCATTGAGTTTTCTAGTTAGTGTTGTGTTGAGCTTCCATGGAGTTTTCTAGTTAGTGTTGTGTTGAGCTTCCATGGAGTTTTCTAGTTAGTGTTGTGTTGAGCTTCCATGGAGTTTTCTAGTTAGTGTTGTGTTGAGCTTCCATGGAGTTTTCTAGTTAGTGTTGTGTTGAGCTATGTCAGGGATGCAGGACTGTCAAACTTATGTTTCATGATGATATGGAAACTGAGATATTCCACAATCCTGTTTTTAAATATTTTCCCCAAAGATCTGTTTCCTTTCATCACACACAGATATGTCTACAAGTGATGTGGCTTATTTCATCACACACAGATATGTCTACAAGTGATGTGGCTTATTTCATCACACACAGATATGTTTACAAGTGATGGGGTTTATTTCATCACACACAGACATGTCTACAAGTGATGTGGTTTATTTCATCACACACAGACATGTCTACAAGTGATGTGGTTTATTTCATCACACACAGACATGTCTACAAGTGATGTGGTTTATTTCGTCACACACAGATATGTCTACAAGTGATGTGGCTTATTTCATCACACACAGATATGTCTACAAGTGATGCGGTTTATTTCATCACACACAGATATGTCTACAAGTGATGTGGTTTATTTCATCACAAACAGATATGTCTACAAGTGATGTGGTTTATTTCGTCACACACAGATATGTCTACAAGTGAATGGGTTTATTTCATCACACACAGATATGTCTACAAGTGATGTGGTTTATTTCGTCACACACAGATATGTCTACAAGTGATGTGGCTTATTTCATCACACACAGATATGTCTACAAGTGATGTGGCTTATTTCATCACACACAGATATGTCTACAATTGATGGGGTTTATTTCATCACACACAGATATGTCTACAAGTGATGTGGCTTATTTCATCACACACAGATATGTTTACAAGTGATGGGGTTTATTTCATCACACACAGACATGTCTACAAGTGATGTGGTTTATTTCATCACACACAGACATGTCTACAAGTGATGTGGTTTATTTCATCACACACAGACATGTCTACAAGTGATGTGGTTTATTTCGTCACACACAGATATGTCTACAAGTGATGTGGCTTATTTCATCACACACAGATATGTCTACAAGTGATGCGGTTTATTTCATCACACACAGATATGTCTACAAGTGATGTGGTTTATTTCATCACAAACAGATATGTCTACAAGTGATGTGGTTTATTTCGTCACACACAGATATGTCTACAAGTGAATGGGTTTATTTCATCACACACAGATATGTCTACAAGTGATGTGGTTTATTTCGTCACACACAGATATGTCTACAAGTGATGCGGTTTATTCATAAAGATAACAGCAGGGCAATGTCAGCACAGTGCACAGGCGGTTTGACACCAGTGAGGATCCAAATGTGCATGCCGGTGTTTGATGACAATATAAAAACACAGGCTACATATATTCTGCCCGTCAATAACGTTCTTGTTTGTGTGTGTGTGTGTGTTTAAAAAAAACACATTTGTCCTTAGAAGTGCATCTGGCATCTGTAATTTACAGCTAGGCTGTGATATCTTTAAAGTTGGCCCAACACATCCATTTCCAGCAAACTCTGGTTGTTTTCTTACAACTTGCTTTTTAGGAAGATTTTGGTCCCCCCACACAATGGGGTCTTGGAACCCATTTAGGAAAGAATTATATAAAAGCAGTTTCACTAGGGCAAGATAAGAGATTCTTTAGGATAGGATAACAGATTCTCTAGGAGAGGATAACAGATTCACTAGGAGAGGATAATAGATGCTCTAGGAGAGGATAACAGATTCATTAGGAGAGGATAACAGATGCACTAGGAGAGGATAACAGATTCACTAGGAGAGGATAACAGATTCACTAGGAGAGGATAACAGATTTACTAGGAGAGGATAACAACTTCACCAGGAGAGGATAACAGATTCACATTCACTAGAAGAGGATAACAGATTCATTAGGAGAGGATAACAGATTCAGATTAAAACAATCTTCTTGTTCTTTGTGATTCCCAACTGTAAACTTCAGCAGAAAGTCCTGGTTGTTCATCAATAGGGATTTTAACTTTGTTCCAGAGCATGAGATTTGCATGTACATCCATTTTACTGGCTTATTTGTGTGTAGCTAGTTCTTCCTTGCCGCTCGTACACATGCATTCCAATTAGAAGGAGGCTACCAATTAGTGGACTTCTACGAAATGCTTGCTGGAGAGGCAGCGAGCCTATTCTTCTCTCCCCCGTCCCTACAATGGGGCTCCAGAACCTGCATGGGGAACTAAAACAATAAAACTGCCAACCTTCGCCGCAAAAGATTATATTTCTTTTTCAGGAATGAGGTGAATCTTTGCCAGACTGTTTGGAGTATGTCAGTTTCCTCTTCTGCCATCTTAGACTCTAGCATCTGTTGATACTGGGCAACATTTGGGTCTCGCTGATGTTTGTGTAAAGTTTCATTCACTGAAATGTAAACAAAACAAACTTTGTTGATACTGGGCAACATTTGGGTCTCGCTGATGTTTGTGTAAAGTTTCATTCACTGAAATGTAAACAAAACAAACTTTGTTGATACTGGGCAACATTTGGGTCTCGCTGATGTTTGTGTAAAGTTTCATTCACTGAAACATAAACAAAACAAACTTTGTTGATACTGGGCAACATTTGAGTTTCGCTGATGTTTGTGTAAAGTTTCATTCACTGAAATGTAAACAAAACAAACTTTGTTGATACTGGGCAACATTTGGGTCTCGCTGATGTTTGTGTAAAGTTTCAATCACTGAAACATACACAAAACAAACTTTGTTGATACTGGGCAACATTTGAGTTTCGCTGATGTTTGTGTAAAGTTTCATTCACTGAAATGTAAACAAAACAAACTGTTCATACTGGGCAACATTTGGGTCTCGCTGAATCCTTTATTGTTGTTCACACAGAGATGTTTTTGGAGGATGTGTTCTGAATCCTTTATTGTTGTTCATACAAAGATGTTCTTGGAGGATGTGTTCTGAATCCGTTATTGTTGTTCATACAGAGATATTCTTGGAGGATATGTTCTGAATCCTTTATTGTTGTTCATACAGAGATATTCTTGAAGGATGTGTTCTGAATCCTTCACCTTTGTTCATACAGAGATATTCTTGGAGGATGTGTTCAAAATAATTTAGCTTCATTCATAAAGAGATGTTCTTGGAGGATGTGTTCTGAATCCTTTAACTTTGTTCAGACAGGATGTTCTTGGAGGATGTGTTCTGAATCCTTCACCTTTGTTTATACAGAGATGTTCTTGGAGGATGTGTTCTGAATCCTTTAACTTTGTTCATACAGAGATGTTCTTGGAGAATGTGTCCTGAATCTTTTATTGTTGTTCATACAGAGATGTTCTTGGAGGATGTGTCCTGAATCTTTTATTGTTGTTCATACAAAGATGTTCTTGGAGGATGTGTCCTGAATCTTTTATTGTTGTTCATACAGAGATGTTCTTGGAGGATGTGTTCTGAATCCTTTATTGTTGTTCAGACAAGAGATGTTCTTGGAGGATGTGTTTTGAATCCTTTACCTTTGTTCATATATAGATGTTCTTGGAAGAAGTAGGTTGTGGGTTACTTTTCCAGATTCATGTTCAGGTATTCCAGGAGGATGTATGCTCTGAGTTCTTCATCCTTGTTCCTTCTGAGTCATTCCTGGAGAATGTGTGTTTCTTCTTCATTCATCTGTTTGTCTGGAGAAACTAGCTGTATTGTACCTGCTCACAGGCAAGCTCAGTTATTTGTACCTATCAATCAACAGATCTGACCTCAATCAATCAACAGATCTGACCTCAATAAATCAACAAGGTGCCATCTCCAGAATGAAAGATGGCAGCAATGGATATGCATCACTGTCTGTCAGGACTCTTGGCTGTACACTGTTACACTTATCTCTTGGTGTTACCCTCCCATTTGTATTATCATCATCATCATAAACCACTTCTGCCATTAAGCGCCGTGGGAAGGACCCACTTGTACCACTGTCTACTTCTAGCTCACCTGGTTTTTTTTGTGTTTTTGCGCCAAGTATAGCTTTTTAAAAAAAGTCGTCTTTCAATATAGCAGAAATATTTCCCTTATATCATTTGTTTCTTTCAGCTACTCATTTTTTCATTCCTAGTAAATTCAGCATCTTTGTTTTTGATTTTGTTTTTGTTTCCATGAAAAACGATCTATTCTTCTGTATATCCATAGCTCATCAATTTGACCTTCTACCTGCTTATTTACTGTTAAGAAGAAGCAGATGGGAGAAGTGTTACTTGTTGTAGCACTTCTGTTTATTGTGATGTTCACGGTTAGCCTACCCTTCCCTTGTTAATTAATGTTTTAGTTTTTGTAGATCTGATCTCAGCAAGGCATTAGTTAAATGATGGAATTCCTACAATAGAGTTATTCCTAAAACAAGAGTTCAAAAGGAAATCCAGCAATATCTAAAACAGTGTGAACTACTCCCATATAAAGCCCTTTATCCCAATAATCTTTATAATCAAAGCTACTGCCCTTAACTAAGATGAGAGTATTTAGATAACAATAAAATGCATACAAATGAAAACCTCTACTGGTCATCACAGAATATAATTTAAATAAATGTAATATATAATAAATAGGAAATATCAGAAATATAGTATTAATATTTAAAAAGTTGACTAATTAGGCGTTTCCTTAGGTCAGAGTTTGCCTGAGAGGCCTGGAACCAACAGCCTGTGTACAAATAACCAGATCCCTAAAACTGATGTGCATGCAAAACCCATGTTCTGGAACAAGACAGAAAATCCAGAAGTGGATGAACAACCAGAACTTTTCCACCAAGTTTACAGATGTTGAACATGAAGAAGAAGAATACCACAAATTTATGTGAACCACAATCTTCTGTGTTTGCATGAGTTACTGTTAGCTACAATTGAAGCATCTTTCAACACATCCAATTTCAGCAAACTCTTAATTAGGGACCTTTTAAATTTTTTTTTTTTTTTTACTGGCAGCGAGTCTATTCTTTTCTCTTCCAAAATGGTGGTCCTGAGCCCACACAAGGACCTTGCCAACCAAAAAAAAAAGAGACAACAGAAACAAGTGTTACATGACTGAACAGAAACAAGTGTTACACGACTGAACAGAAACAAGTGTTACATGACTGAACAGAAACAAGTGTTACATGACTGAACAGAAACATGTGTTACATGACTGAACAGAAACAAGTGAGTGTTACATGATTGTGTCTTGTTGTAGTCTTCCTCAAACTGGGAGTATTTCTGGAGAAACCTGGCCTCGGTCGTGTTGACGAACATGTACAAGTAACAGGAAGGTGTTTCTGACACGGTGTGCACATTGTGAAAGGTGTCGGCCGCAATCTGCAAGCAAATCCATCAATTAAAACACAGTTTGATAACCCACAGACTGTTTTTTTCCTCCCCAAACCGCCATCTGAAGCCCTAACACCCTAGCAACCCAATGAACTACATTATAATGTCAATCTTTTAAGACCAATTAACTTACCCCTTCTTCTAGTCTATGCTGTATGGCACTGGTAATCATATCTGTCCATATATTTCTGATCCAATACTGTGGTTTGACTGCCGACAATGTTAGTTTTCACAAGTAATTTGCTTCAAGATATGGTTAGCTGTTTTTGCCCCATAAGTGGACTAAAAGTATATAGTTCTGTCACCCAGCTATTGAGCTTAATACAGTGTGACAATGTGAAATGCAGATTTCAATTTAGAATGCTTTTTTTTTCTTCTGGGCCCAACAAGGGTGGTGTTAAATAAAGATTCAGAAAATGGTGAGTGGCTTGTTGCCACAGAATTGATCGTACCTTATTCAATAATGCAGGTGTAACTGCTGATCTATTGCAATTACTGCTTTCATCGACCAAAAAAATCAATTCTAGCGGACTATTTATGTTGAACTTCTTACAGCTGTATAACTGCTGGTTTCTGAGCTTGGAGAGGGGGAATAAGAGCTGTGCAACACAGTTCTTGACAGAAGAAATAAAACTCCTCTTCAAGAGAATTTATGAATAATCAAGGAAACAATGTCCCAGGTGCACAAACTACATCCTACCACAGCTGCAAAAACTATGCCCTACCACAGATGCCACAAACCATGTCCTACCACAGCTGTACACAAACCATGTCCTACCACAGCTGTACACACACCATGTCCCCTACAGCTGTACACAAACCATGTCCCACCACAGCTGTACACAAACCATGTCCTACCACAGCTGTACACTAACCATGTCCTACCACAGCTGTACACAAACCATATCCTACCACAGCTGTACACAAACCATGTCATACCACAGCTGTACACAAACCATGTTCTACCATAGCTGTACACAAACCATGTCCTACCACTTGTATCAACAGTTATAAAACAGAGCAGATGTCTGGGCAACCACTAGTATCAACAGTTATTAGACAGAGAAGATGGCTGGATAATCACTTGTATCAACACTTATAAGACAGAGAAGATGGCGTTCAACTGAACACATTCTGAGAAGAGACGAGCAGAGAATCACCAAGCAGGCATTGAAATGGAAACAGGGTGATCTGTTTTCCTCTACAGCCCCAATGACACAACTCTGAGGGAGTAATAATTAACTAAAGTGGTAGAAAACTATATCATAATTCATTAAAGAAGAGAATTAGGCACAATAATCACCGTGCCACTATACATCACACAAGGCAAGCATTCTGGTCTTCCATTCCATCTCAACATGTGCAGTCCTTTTAATATCATGGTGTACAGAATCCAGTCTAGCACCTTTGGCCTCTCTCAACACTGTTCATCTTAGTGTTTCTCTTGCACACCCTTGTTTCCCCAATCAATTTGCTTTCCATTTCATGGCTTGTTTAGTGATTCTCTGCTTCTCCTCGTGATGTGCCCGACATATTGCCACATTCTTTTTCTGATAACTGTTGATATCAGCGGTTGTCTATATACTTCTCTGATTTCTTCACTTATTGATCCCATTTATTCATCTGTTTCTGGAGACATTTGTTTGTGAATGCATTAAATGTTCATTCTGTGCCATCAGTGATTCTCAAACGTTAAAACTAAAATAACATTAGAATCAAAATACGCAGCTTGGTTTTAAAACTTTCAAATCTATAGTTCCATATTTTGTTCATGCTTCTAACAGCTGCTGCTGACTTACCAAAGTGTATCATAATTTCTTTCTTTGAGTTTTTTTCAGGCTATATAGGCAAAGTGATCTGTAATTTCAATTGTTGTTGTCTACAGTGTAATGTCTGCATGATCCACTATGATGTCTTCAGTAGATTTGTCAATATGAGATACTGCTCCAGACACAATATTACTGATCTCTATGGGATATATTCTAGAGAGGAAGATAACTGTACAACAAACCTGGACTGATTTATCAGGTCCCAGAGTAATATTTTTCTTTAGATCCACAAGTTCCAGGATGACTTCGCCGGCGAGGACCGTGATGCTGGTGTTTCCATAATCTGGCTGGACATAGTTCTCCAGGTACATACCTGCAGGCAGGACAAGTAAAACCAGCTCAGAGATGAGGGAAACATTCACTAACTGCTGCCTGTGCAGAATACAGGGCATTAAATGGCATGACAGAACTACTAATATAGATGAACTTCATTTCTAATGTCGTACTGTTTGTGTTAGCACTTCGGATGGCTACCATATGCTTTACTGCGAGTGTATGCTAGATATGCTGAAACAGCAGTCTGTCAATCTTTCCACAAGGGACTGTGATAAATATTCTGTGTGTTTTTCGTTGGCACAGGAGCGGAGCTAAGATGGGGTGACCCGTTTGCAATGAAGCTGAAACAAAGACTACCAGACTACCAGACTAATATAGAGCTTTGGGAGAGACCCAAACAATTTCCAGTAGACCAAGAGGTGAAGAAGAGACGCTGGCTTTGGATAGCACACATGATGAGAAACACCTGAGAACAATATAACTAGAATGTGTTTGCATTGGAACCCGCAGGGGTTTAGAAATAAAGGAAGACCAAAAACACATGCAGAAGGGAGCTAAAGAGTTAAAAAGATACGGAACACATGGGCAGAGCTGCATGCGATAGCAAAGGATAGAATGACTTGGGGGCCTATGCTCCACTGGGGGTTAGAAAGGCAGAAGAAGAAGTTGTGGGTACAGACATCTGTCAAGTGTTTCTGGAGTATGTCTGAATGGGAAGAATGAATCAATCCAGAATTCACATCAACGCTAACAGGACATTGCCACAGCTCTGTTTTTCATCCTTAGCAGCGAGCACCGACTTTCATGGTGACAGTTGAAACCTGGCTGAAAGTCCATCAATCTTTTCCCCGGAGTATTTAATTCTGTGCAGACACTCTGCTCAACCCCCTCTTAATTAGTCTCCTGAAGTATAGTTATTCTGTCCAACGCACTGTCTCTCTAAACGCAGACAGCCCTCACCGCACTGGCTTTATCATAAAGTATCTCATCTCCCTGAGGAAGGAGGAGCAGTCAGTCAATCAGCCTGCTCATTGCCCCACATATCTGCAAAACCATGGGCAGATAATCAATGCCATGCCCTCAGGCTTGTCAAGCAGAAGACACCACTCACTGTATATTTTCATCAGCTTGCTCTGTGAGTCAATTTCAACATTCTGGCCAGTACTACTTTCTAGGCTTAAGAAATGTGACAGGTAAAACTGGATCAAATCATCATCAGCCATACCTGGTCACTAGAGAATGTTCCTCACATTACGGTGACAGCCTTGACCCTTTGAAAGTTCCTCTGGCTTATACATTTTTAACCTGGGAGTCTTCAGGTGCTGTGTCCATCATTATCTTGTTCTATCTCTACCTTTTCTTCCGAGAACAATACCTTCAATTACTGAATGGAGAATGTGACCTACAGAATCCCATGTGCACCTCAAATCAATCTGATTTGTTACCAGCTATTCTGACAGCTGCTTATTGTTTGTGAGTGTTTTTTAATTAAGTGGATCTAATCTGTTGGAAAAACTATGTCTCATGATGTTCCATAATTTCTTTGTTAAACACACATGACATGTTAAAACCAGTTCCATGTCACATGCAAGAACTCTTTGCAAAACTTCCAATGAAAAGAACTTATTGCTCAATATCTTCGTTATTTTGTTTGGCTTTGTTAAATAAATCAGGTGCCATCTCCTTAATGAAGACTGCCTGCTATGAATCTCCTAAATGCTCAGTCTTTCACCCTGGAGGTACACTCTTTGAAACTGCTTTTTATCAATTTCTTGATGTTCTTCTTCCACCTGTATCACTGTCTGCTTCTTGCCTTCAACATTATCCTTCAGAATGGTGTTTTTTAACTGTTGATACAAGTTGTTGCCCAGACATCTTCTCTGTCTTGTAACTGCTGATACAAGTTGTTGCCCAAACATCTTCTCTGTCTTGTAACTGTTGATACAAGTTGTTGCCCCGACATCTTCTCTGTCTTGTAACTGCTGATACAAGTTGTTGCCCCGACATCTTCTCTGTCTTGTAACTGTTGATACAAGTTGTTGCCCCGACATCTTCTCTGTCTTGTAACTGTTGATACCAGTCTTCTCAAACCTCTGTGTATTGGACTGTTTTTGTTTCCATGAAATATGACCTATTCTTCTGTACATCCACATCTACAAATATTCAATATGATTTTCTAATTGTCTGCTCACTGTCCAGGTCTTTGCATCATACAGCACAGTTGAGCATGCATACCATTTGACAATCCACTGTTTATAATGTGTTTTAACTCTCTAGATGTTGGTAATTTACACACACTGTTAAATATATTGTTGACCATTCTTATTCCCTTTTTGATTGTAACTTTATCTTCACCATCATCTATTTCTGGAAAAAACTGGTTACTTGTCCCAGTATCTCTTAGTTCACTGTGATGTTCACTGCTGGCCACTGTTAATATCATAGTTTTTGTTTTTCAAATGTTTAAACCATACTCTGCACTCCACCATTTTCCTTTTCCACTATGTCCTGTGCAATTCCTGCTCATATTCTGCTAGTAATACTGTGTTACCAGTCCATATCAGATTGTCTATTATTCTTTCACTAATATTGTCCAGGCAATTCTATAACAGTGATATTAAGTCCAGGTAATTCTCCAACAGTGATATTAAGTTCAGACAATTCTCCAACAGTGATATTAAGTCCAGGCAATTCTTCAACAGTGATATTAAGTCCAGGCAATTCTTCAACAGTGATATTAAGTCCAGGCAATTCTCCAACAGTGTAAGTCCAGGAAATTCTTCAACAGTGATATTAAGTCCAGGAAATTCTCCAACAGTGTAAGTCCAGGCAATTCTTCAACAGTGATATTAAGTCCAGGCAATTCTTCAACAGTGATATTAAGTCCAGGCAATTCTCCAACAGTGATATTAAGTAAAGACAATTCTCCAACAGTGATATTAAGTCCAGGCAATTCTCCAACAGTGATATTAAGTCCAGGCAATTCTCCAACAGTGATATTAAGTCCAGGCAATTCTCCAACAGTGATATTAAGTCCAGGCAATTCTCCAACAGTGATATTAAGTCCAGGAAATTCTTCAACGGTGATATTAAGCCCAGGCAATTCTCAAATTTGTTTTAAAATGCTTTCTGTACATAAGCTGAAAAATACAAGCACATTACAATATCTGCACACAGAAAACCTGGTGAAACAGTACCTGGGAAATCTGCTACAAACACAACATCAACAGGGGTGTCAGCGTCCAATGATTTTTTAATCTCCTCCAGCTTCGTCCTCCAGTCGGACAAGTCCACCATTAAAGGCATCAGCCAGGAAGGTTGGAGAAGTGGGTTCCAGCCTGCTGTGACCATATCCACACGTGGGTCGATCATTCTTGGGAACAGAAATGGGCATACATGAAATATTACAAACAATAGCTGTGTGAATATTACAAACAATAGCTGTGTGAATATTACAAACAATAGCTGTGTGAATATTACTAAAAATAGTTGAGTGAATATTACAAACAGTTGTGTGAATATTACAAACAACAGTTGTGTGAATTTTACAATGTATATGTGGTCAGTGTGTGTGGTAGTGTAAATAAAATGTAAGTGGCACACAATAGTTGTGTGTTGTATGTGTTTGTGGTATGCTTAAGCATTGTGCCTGTTAGCTGTAATCCCTGGGGCAGTCTATGTGTAGTGTATATATATGTGTAGTATACTGTGTATAATCAACATGTGTAGTGTATATATATATATATATATGTGTGTAGTATACTGTGTATAATCAACATGTGTAGTGTATATATATATATATATGTGTGTAGTATACTGTGTATAATCAACATGTGTGGTGTGTATATATATATGTGTAGTATACTGTGTATAATCAACATGTGTAGTGTATATATATATGTGTGTAGTATACTGTGTATAATCAACATGTGTGGTGTATATATATGTGTGTAGTATACTGTGTATAATCAACATGTGTGGTGTATATATATGTGTGTAGTATACTGTGTATAATCAACATGTGTAGTGTATATATATATATGTGTAGTATACTGTGTATAATCAACATGTGTAGTGTGTATATATATATGTGTGTAGTATACTGTGTATAATCAACATGTGTAGTGTATATATATATATATGTGTGTAGTATACTGTGTATAATCAACATGTGTAGTGTATATATATATGTGTAGTATACTGTGTATAATCAACATGTGTAGTGTATATATATATATGTGTAGTATACTGTGTATAATCAACATGTGTAGTGTATATATATGTGTGTAGTATACTGTGTATAATCAACATGTGTAGTGTGTATATATATATGTGTAGTATACTGTGTATAATCAACATGTGTAGTGTATATATATGTGTGTAGTATACTGTGTATAATCAACATGTGTAGTGTATATATGTGTAGTATACTGTGTATAATCAACATGTGTAGTGTATATATATGTGTAGTATACTGTGTATAATCAACATGTGTGGTGTATATATATATATGTGTAGTATACTGTGTATAATCAACATGTGTGGTGTGTATTGTCACTGTGTACAGTGTGATGTGTGCTGTTTAACATACATGGTGTACAGTATGAGTGGTATGTTGTGTGGGGTAGTTTATTTAGCTTGCCTAGTGTGTGGCATATTGTCCTCTAGCTGTCAAAAAGGGGCTATTTGTTATTTGTCTCCATCCAGTATCCACTGCCATGACCCCATCCGGACAAGGGTCACACCTGGGTCAAGCATGCAAAATGCACAAACACATAGAAAAAAAAAGAAACAACTGGTCATCATTTGGGGAATGAAACATCCAGGAAAACAGAAAAAACACCTCCGCTCTGTCCCAAAGGTTAAATATAACCAACCCTCCACCATTAGTGATAGTTAGATTAGTTATCAGACAAACTGCACTGTGCTGATTTTAGTTTAATAAAGAAAACAAATAAAGAAACATACAGTAATAGAACAAACCATCGCTATTGTATAGTTATTTGATCATCAGTGATTCTTGTGTTAACTATGAAATGTTGTGAGACAGTTTGTTCTCGTCTGATATCACAAAACTGCAATGATACTGTTCAAATATTTTGATAATGGAATTATCCAACAACACTCAGTGATTTATTACTGTATATCCTCAAGTATAAGATGCATTTATTTAAAAAAAAAAGTGTGCATCTTACACAATGGTAGAAGATTTCGACCAAATAATGTGTTAGAAAATATTCCGTACACAACCTCATTTGGGCAAGCCAGTTAAAGTGTTCAGCAGTGATATACAACAGAAATATATTTTTAAAAAAAAGTTGTTTCCTACAGTAACAGATTTTGTGCTTGTTTTCATGCAGACTTTTTGCACATCCTCCATTGTCCACTAAGATTAAACCAACTGTTGTCAGCAATAACAAACCCTTTAAAGTTGCCATGAGAGACCAAGGGAACCAATGGATGAGGTCTTCTGGTGACAACTTGACACCAGCAGGTTGTGTGCAGAAACCAGCTGTAGCAGAAGTTTGTATGTGGGTGAGAAGATCCTGTGATAATGTGAAGATTGAGATCGTTGTCAACTCATTCAAGAAGTGAGGCATTTCAAATACCACAGATGGAACTGAGGATGAGGCAATATATGAATACAGTGATTTGTCATCAGATACAGATGTGGACAAGCTAGAGAACTATCACATGGACAAGCTAGAGAACTATCACATGGACAAGCTAGAGAACTATCACATGGACAAGCTAGAGAACTATCACATGGACAAGCTAGAGAACTATCACATGGACAAGCTAGAGAACTATCACATGGGAGAGAGTTTTGAGAGCGTTGGGGAGTTTTCTGGATTCTATGATGAATCAAATGTGAGTTCAATAACTTTATGTAATCATTTTTTCTTCTTCAAATTTCCAGTGCCAAAATCTAGGTGCTCTCATACATGGAGAAATACAGTAACACAGAGCCTGTAACAACAGTGTTGGAGAAATACAGTAACACAGAGCCTGTAACAACAGTGTTGGAGAAATACAGTAACACAGAGCCTGTAACAACAGTGTTGGAGAGAACATGTTGGAGAAATACAGTAACACAGAGCCTGTAACAACAGTGTTGGAGAAATACAGTAACACAGAGCCTGTAACAACAGTGTTGGAGAAATACAGTAACACAGAGCTTGTAACAACAGTGTTGGAGAAATACAGTAACACAGAGCCTGTAACAACAGTGTTGGAAAAATACAGTAACACAGAGCCTGTAACAACAGTGTTGGAGAAATACAGTAACACAGAGCCTGTAACAACAGTGTTGGAGAAATACAGTAACACAGAGCCTGTAACAACAGTGTTGGAGAAACTGCATAAGCTGACACAAGTTCCAACCAGGCCATCTCTGCACACCACACACAGATCACCTGAACCCTACCAGCATGGCTCTCTGACAAACACCATGAGCTGAACCTGAGATGTGAATACCATGCTAGGCTCTCTGACAAACACCATGAGCTGAACCTGAGATGTGAATACCATGCTGGGCTCTCTGACAAACACCATGAGCTGAACCTGAGATGTGAATACCATGCTAGGCTCTCTGACAAACACCATGAGCTGAACCTGAGATGTGAATACCATGCTAGGCTCTCTGACAAACACCATGAGCTGAACCTGAGATGTGAATACCATGCTGGGCTCTCTGACTAACACCATGAGCTGAACCTGAGATGTGAATACCATGCTGGGCTCTCTGACAAACACCATGAGCTGAACCTGAGATGTGAATACCATGCTGGGCTCTCTGACAAACACCATGAGCTGAACCTGAGATGTGAATACCATGCTGGGCTCTCTGACAAACACCATGAGCTGAACCTGAGATTTGAATACCATGCTGGGCTCTCTGACTAACACCATGAGCTGAACCTGAGATGTGAATACCATGCTGGGCTCCCTGACAAACACCATTAGCTGAACCTGAGATGTGAATACCATACTGTCTGACCCACTGCAGTCTCTTGTCCGGACAGAGGAAGAGAGGTTGACAACTAGACCAGAAGGTGAATAAAGGGAATTAAATGAGAATGTTACTGTCAGAATCACAAATGTGGAGCTCTGGGAGACAACTAAAGAATGTAAATCTGAGCCTAAGAAAATGATTCTGGCATTGGGTAGGAGACAGACTTAGAAAACCTGATAACTGTATAAATACAATGTTTTGGCACTGAAAAACACAGGATTAAAGCAAAAAAAGCGGACTACAAAACACTCAGAAAAAGGAAGGACAATGAGAGAAAACAAGTGGGAAGCAAAGGAAAAGCTGATAAGGTGCACGCTGGGGGCATGTGCTCCAATGGTGAGTAAAGGGCATAATGAGAAGAAATATATCTTCTTTTTCCGAGCGATTACCGGCTGCAAACTCCGGCGGACAGTTTTGGTTGTTAGTGAATTTCTTGACTTAGGCTTGTTCCAGAACACGAGTTTTGTGTGGACATTGGTTCTACTGATCTGCTTATTTGTACACAGACTGTTCAGTCCACCCCTCTCATAGGACATGCTTATTAGGGAGGCAGTGCATCCTGGTGGGTCCTGGAACCAGCCCAGAGATATAAATATATCAAGTATCTCTGCAAATGTGGGTTAAAGAAGAAATATTAGAGCTTAAAATACATTTGCGAACAAACGGCTTACCTCTGCTGAAAGCGTGAGTTCAATGATCTCCACACATCAAAGTACAAGGCTACATTGGAGATATTGTATTTGTGCAGGTTGTCAGCGATACATTGGGCATACTGCTTGACCATGTCTCCATGGGACGACCAACGCTGGTTGCCCCCTGTCCACACCTGCACAAATAAACAATCCACAGTAATACACGTCTAAGGCCATCTGGTTTTATCCAACAAAAAATGACTATCTACTTTTATCAGAGACAAGATAATACCTGTCTTAGGACCATCTAGTTTTATCAGAGACAAGATAATACCTGTCTTAGGACCATCTAGTTTTATCCAACAATAGATTACATCTTCCTCAGACAGTCTACTTTTATTAGAGACAAGATAATACAGACAATGTGGTCAACATCATAATAGAACAATGTGGTCAACATCATAATAGAACAATGTGGTCAACATCATAATAGAACAATGTGGTCAACATCACAATAGAACAATGTGGTCAACATCATAATAGAACAATGTGGTCAACATCATAATAGAACAATGTGGTCAACATCACAATAGAACAATGTGGTCAACATCATAATAGAACAATGTGGTCAACATCATAATAGAACAATGTGGTCAACATCATAATAGAACAATGTGGTCAACATCATAATAGAACAATGTGGTCAACATCATAATAGAACAATGTGGTCAACATCATGACAGAACAGACAATGTGGTCAACATCATGACAGAACAATGTGGTCAACATCATAATAGAACAATGTGGTCAACATCATAATAGAACAATGTGGTCAACATCATAATAGAACAATGTGGTCAACATCATGACAGAACAGACAATGTGGTCAACATCATGACAGAACAGACAGTGTGATCAACATCATGACAGAACAGACAATGTGATCAACATCATGACAGAACAGACAGTGTGGTCAACATCATGACAGAACAGACAGTGTGATCAACATCATGACAGAACAGACAATGTGGTCAACATCATGATAGAACAGACAATGTGATCAACATCATGACAGAACAGACAATGTGGTCAACATCATGATAGAACAGACAATGTGATCAACATCATGACAGAACAGACAGTGTGATCAACATCATGATAGAACAGACAATGTGGTCAACATCATGACAGAACAGACAATGTGATCAACATCATGACAGAACAGACAATGTGATCAACATCATGACAGAACAGACAATGTGATCAACATCATGATAGAACAGACAATGTGATCAACATCATGACAGAACAGACAATGTGATCAACATCATGATAGAACAGACAATGTGGTCAACATCATGACAGAACAGACAATGAGGTCAACATCATGATAGAACAGACAATGTGATCAACATCATTATAGAACAGACAATGTGATCAACATCATGATAGAACAGACAATGTGATCAACATCATGATAGAACAGACAATGTGATCAACATCATGATAGAACAGACAATGTGGTCAACATCATGATAGAACAGACAATGTGATCAACATCATGATAGAACAGACAATGTGGTCAACATCATGACAGAACAGACAATGTGATCAACATCATGACAGAACAGACAATGTGGTCAACATCATGACAGAACAGACAATGTGATCAACATCATGACAGAACAGACAATGTGATCAACATCATGACAGAACAGACAATGTGATCAACATCATGACAGAACAGACAATGTGGTCAACATCATGATAGAACAATGTGATCCACATCATGACAGAACAATGTGATCCACATCATGACAGAACAGACAATGTGATCCACATCATGACAGAACAATGTGATCAACATCATGACAGAACAGACAATGTGGTCAACATCATGACAGAACAGACAATGTGGTCAACATTATGATAGCCACATTTACTTCCCAGTACATTTTCTGGTATCTATTTAATAGCCTATATGCAGATTTAAAAATGACCACTGGACAGGTGGGCAGGAAGGGAAGCAGGCAGGTAAGTAGGGAGGTAAGCAGGCAGGCAAGCAGGGAGGCAAGCGGGCAGGTAAGCAGGCAGGTAAGCAGGGAGGTAAGCAGGGAGGTAAGCAGCGAGGTAAGCAGTGAGGTAAGCATGTGGGGAGGTAAGCAGGCAGGAAGCAGGTAGGGAGTTAAGCAAGCAGGGAGGTAAGCAGGTAGGGAGGTAAGCAGGCAGGTAAGCAGGTAGGGAGGTAAGCAGGTAGGGAGGTAAGCAGGCAGGTAAGCAGGTAGGGAGGTAAGCAGGCAGGTAAACAGGTAGGGAGGTAAGCAGGAAGTTAAGCAGGCAGGTAAACAGGTAGGGAGGTCAGCAGGCAGGTAAGCAGGTAGAAAGGTAACTAGGCAGGTAAGGAGGTAAGCAGGCAGGTAAACAGGTAGGGAGGTAAGCAGGTAGAAAGGTAACTAGGCAGGTAAGCAGGTAGGGAGGTAAGCAGGCAGGTAAACAGGTAGGGAGGTAAGCAGGAAGGTAAGCAGGCAGGTAAACAGGTAGGGAGGTCAGCAGGCAGGTAAACAGGTAGGGAGGTCAGCAGGCAGGTAAGCAGGTAGAAAAGTAACTAGGCAGGTAAGCAGGTAGGGAGGTAAGCAGGCAGGTAAGCAGGTAGGGAGGTAAGCAGGGAGGGAGGTAAGCAGGCAGGTAAGCAGGTAGGGAGGTAAGCAGGCAGGTAAGCAGGTAGGGAGGTCAGCAGGCAGGTAAGCAGGTAGGGAGGTAAGCAGGCAAGTAAGCAGGTAGGGAGGTAAGCAGGGAGGGAGGTAAGCAGGCAGGTAAGCAGGTAGGGAGGTAAGCAGGCAGGTAAGCAGGTAGGGAGGTAAGCAGGCAGGTAAGCAGGTAGGGAGGAAAGCAGGCAGGTAAGCAGGTAGGGAGGTAAGCAGGCAGGTAAGCAGGTAGGGAGGTAAGCAGGCAGGTAAGCAGGTAGGGAGGTAAGCAGGCAGGTAAGCAGGTAGGGAGGTAAGCAGCAGCCAGGCAGGTAAGCAGGTAGGCAGGCAATCACCTGCACACCAAAGCTCCCCTCCTCCACTAAGATATTTATATTTACAATCAGGTTATAAACTGTACTGATGTGGCTTTGTGGCTTCGGGGTTAGTGAAAACGTTTCACAATGCACGATTTGGCATTTACTAGGTCAGGTTTCTGGGATGTGCAGTTTTGAAAAAAGACCCCCCCCCCCCTCCCTTTGTGACCATCAGACAGGGTATAACAGTTGTATACAAATATTTACTCGCAGCAGAGGTGTGGTTTCTGAGAAGAATGCAAAGAATATCACAGAAGAATAGAAAAACAAACAAAACAGTCCTCACTGAGGCAGATAAAAACTTATTAGAACAATTAGACACAAACAGTCAATGTGTTTTGAGTGGACATGTTATCAGAAGAAATCGAGAATTTGGTATTCTGGCAAGACTGATGGAAAGAGTGCAAGAGAAAGGTAAAGAGATAAATATCTGGATTGCCTGGCCAAAAGGATGGGGCGAGACAAAAACAAACTGATCTGGGATTCTGGTGATCTTGTGAGACTGCACTGTGGAAGAGTTTGGGGACCTCACTATGTAATAAAAGGTTAAAGACTAAAATATAAAAGCCAAGAGAATCAACTCTATTTTTGCATCCCACAGGGCTTGGTGTCTCTACACAGAAAGGTTAGCCCCCTGCAGACAGCGCCCAAAAATGCAAAAACACTACAGCCCCTGCGACGAACTGAAAGGTCTCTGTACAAACTACACTTTTGACTCAAATGAGGCAGTCGTAAAATGAACCAAAGACAATCACAGCATGAGGCAAACGGCTTGATCACTTCGCCACAGAGACACTCACCCCGCCATAATTAACAGTGGATACAATGCAACCAATCTGCATTGCCAGGTATGGCACAAGGGATTTTAAAATAGATATGTATCCATTGTGGGAGTTGCCGTGATGATGGTGATTGTACACCTGCCGGTGGGTCACAAGGTCGTGGGTCAGAAGGTCGTGGGTTCCTGTCCTGACAGCCGGAATTTTTTCAAAAAAATGACCTTGACCCCAGGTTGACCCAGCCTTGAGTGGGTACCAGGTGCAGTCCTGGGAAGTAAAGGCGGCCGGTGTGTTGCTGACCACATCACCCACCAAGTGCAGATTGGTCTTTAAAAATGTAGGTCTAGCCCCCTATTCCCAATACGCCTGCAAGGCCTGGAAAAGAGACCTTTTTTCTTATGTATCCATTGTTTTAGGTTCTGTTTTATTTTGTTTACTCACACACGTACATTAGGATTGAGATATCCTGAGCGGCCAGTATCCTTGTCATAATATGTGATACGTATATGTTGCACGGACCAGCTGTGGACCATCATATCCCATGAGTAGCCGTACAGTCCATTTGTCCAATTGTTGTATCCCTGGAAAACAAATACACATTTTAATTAAGCGACAGGCATTCAGCTCTGGGATCAGAAAACAAGTACACACATAAATTAAGCGACAGGCATTCAGTTGTGGGATCAGAAAACAAGTACACACATGAATTAAGCGATAGGCATTCAGCTCTGGGATCAGAAAACAAGTGATACAAAATATATGGGAAGAAATAACCGGGTAAGTTAATGAGAAGGAGACAATTCACAAGGTTTGTAAGGGAGATAATACATTTATGAATGGAAGGGAACAAACGTCAGATTTAGGGGGGGGGGGGGGGGGGGGGGGGGGGGGGGATAATGCACATTTAAAAAAAAATGTCCAAACCTTGAAAGTTAATAAATAAATGTCATTTCTGTGGTTAAAGCAATGTGAACACATGCTTTGTAATACTGAGGTGCCTGGTTCAATTTCAGCTGTGGGTGATCTGGCAGCAGATCGCCTTGTGTTGGTTTTGACAGTGGTATAAGCGAAAGCGATGGCAAACTACTGAACATAAGAATGCCTGGTGACATCACAAACAGCAAAAAATCTGCTTGGGTGGTTCTGCAATATCCTGTAAAGGATACAAAACTTACCTGCATATGTCACAGAGGGGGGTCGCCATGGCAGAGCGGCTAGACACTTGCCGGAAGGTCGTGGGTTCGCTCCCTGGTGGAGCCGGACTTTAAAAAAAAAAGACTTTGGCTCCCAGGTTAACCCAGCGTTTAGTGGGTACCGAGTGCAGTCCCGGAAGGTAAAGGCGGCCGGCGTGATGCTGACCACATCACCTATCTTGAGCCAATTAGTCTATAAAATATAGGTATAGTTCTATGAGCCCTATACACCTAAAGGCGTGCACAAGGGACCTTTACTTACTTTACTATATGCCACAGAGTTCAGAATCAGTCAGCTTCAGTTATTCACAGGTGTGAGGCTTCTAGATGGATCAACCTAGACCTGCATCTAGGATTTGACCTGTTGTTTCCAATCCCAGATTATTATATACGTTTTAAGGGCAGCAGCCCTAAGGAGTACAATGGACAGACACGCCTACATGCAGCCTGCACAATGAATCTCCATGAGATTTCCACTATATACCATAAATTCTGCAAGCCTTCTATTGTGCATCTCCATGAAGCTTCAGTCAAAAGTTTCTTCAAACATCACCTATGTACCACCATTACTCTTCTGTGATCAATAACTGTGAGATTTTCACCATAGATCTCTGTGAAAACTTGCCTTAGTTATAGCAAAGCAAATTCAGGAAAGAGACTGCACTGAAAGGTACTGATATATCACAAGGCACAGCATGAAAGATGAAGAAAAACAAAAACAGGACACAGATTATAATTAAAAATGGATAGATGGCATGATAGGTAAGGTAAGCAAGTGGGTCATTCATATGTTGGAGGTTTCATGTAAACAATTGGGGATAATTGACATCTTGGTTAATCTGTGTAGGCAAGTGGGGATAATTCATACCTTCGTGATTCTGTGTAAGCAAGTGGGGATAATTCATACCTTGGTCATTCTGTGTTAGCAAGTGGGGATAATTTATACCTTGGTGATTCCATGTGAGCAAGTGGGGATAATTCATACCTTGGTGATTCTGTGTTAGCAAGTGGGGATAATTCATACCTTGGTGATTCCATGTGAGCAAGTGGGGATAATTCATACCTTGGTGATTCTGTGTTAGCAAGTGGGGATAATTCATACCTTGGTGATTCCATGTGAGCAAGTGGGGATAATTCATACCTTGGTGATTCTGTATAAGCAAGTGGGGATAATTCATACCTTGGTGATTCCATGTGAGTAGGGGAGGAAAAACTGCCATGCAACAAACAAGATGGTGAATAAGGAGGCTAGTTTGTGTTTCAATCTGGGAGAGGTAGGTGGAGCTATTTTTGAGTACGCCATCTGGTATCTGCTGGTGTAGGCCTGTAACAAACAGTTTTTAAAAAACAGCTGTTCTAATGAACTTTATTCAATTTATAAACAAAAATCAGTAAAAATCTAAATTAAAACAACAAATAAAAATAAAACAAAATCTTGGGGCTGAGAGGAGCAAATAAAAGCAAAGCAGCTAAAGATTCACTTCCCACAGTTGCAGTAGTGATATAGTTCATTCAACAATGACATATGCAAGCCATTTTCTCAAAAAATGCCCGTTAGATTGCAATGATCTTTTACAGGCAGCCTTAGAATCATCCATTCAGGAATATCATTCCATGACGTTACTATGGGAATATCATCCATGACGTTGAGGAAATTTTTTTTGGGGGAATATCATCCATGAAGAAGGAATATATGTGAGTTTTTTTTATCTTCCATGAGGATGACATTTTATAATTAAACCGTCCTGGTAGACTTTTGGAAGGTTTACTTTCATTAGTTTCAGGAAGTAATGCACACCATGACTGGTTTAACAGGGGACTATGAAAACCTACCCATTTTCATGATTTTCTCATGCACAGTCACACTTTCAGTGACCTGAAGCCAAAATAAGATGTTAGTCAAGGTTATTTAGTCAAAAGCAGATCCACAAATGAGTGTTGAGTTATTGTGTCATATAGCTAGCTTATAAAAGCTGATATAGACATCAACTTCAAAATGATTTTGAAATGCAAATTTATAATTATGCAGAAGGTTACAGTTTTACTGAACCAGCATTTCCTCAGGGAAACTAAGATGGGTCACTTATATTGAGATATTCATGGCCCAGAGAAACCAACACGATTGGCGCTTGGTCTGTATAGAGCATCATGTAACCGTTGGATTAGACAGGATACAGAGTACGATCATGTCAAGCAAGGAAGGACAAGGAAAGTTGATGACTTTGATGAAGATGTCCTTAGATGTGAGATCTTAAAAATGTTAAAGACAAATCGACTTGTTACTCTCCAAAAACTGAAATTAACATTGAAATCACAAAGCAGTATTGACTTTTCAAAAAGTAGTATGCTGAAAATTGTAAGAGCCACCAGGTTTACTTTCAGGAAAACTGCAGGTAGAATGAATATTATTTGTGAAAAGCCACATTTGATTGCTAGTCAAAGCAAATACCTCAGGCAGATCTGTGAGCGATATTGTATATTTGGATGAATCCTGGGTTAATGCTCACAATACCGATGCTAAAGAATGGCAGTCAGTAAAAGGTGAACAGAAAAGAAACATTCCAAGCAGCAATGGCTAGTGCAGTAAACTCACTTATGCAAGAAGCAGTGTAAAAAGGGCCTTATCTATGTTGCTAGACTGTTTTTCCAATCAAAAGTAGGGATGGTAGGGACTGCCACACTGAAATACATGGAGACATTTTCAGGCACTGGATGGAGAATGTTCTTCCAATTCTGGGCAGATCATCATACTTAGTAGTGGATAATGCCGCCTATCATAATGCCAAATCAGAGAAAAATAAAGTACCAATAACATCAAATACAAAAGATCAAAGTTGCCGGAAAAAAACAGTACATTTAAAATGTGTGATGCTGAAGTTCTGATACGTGAGACCCTCTCAACAAAAGACACTCATTTTCTAGAAAAACTGTGTTAAACATGTGCTCCGAGAGGAAGACGAGTACCGGCACCGAGATGGGTTACAATTTGTTCAGCCAGTAACAGTTTTCAACCTTTTGGGATCCCCAGATTCGGATTGATTAAAACGATTTTTTGATGAGTGGTTGAATACCATCAACCCATCAGGTACATTTACAATTGCAACAAATATATCTCCACATTCAAACATGTCAACCATAATACAATTTGCTGTAGAGTTAAGATACACCCTGGGGTCTAATGGTGACCAAAGGGGAATACCCACTGTTGCATATCTGGGACATGTTTACATTGAACACGGCAGACAGATTGGCTGGATCTGCACCACTGGGTGGTGAGTTGATACATGACAAGGCAGATGTGGTCATGGCCCATTGGGAACAAGTAACGAAGTCAGAAGAGAAAATAGATTATCATGGCTGGAGAGAATGATACACTTAGGTGTGACTATAGGGCCTGATTGGTACACTACACTCAGAGGAAAGGCAAGATGGACACATAATCAAACTGCATCTGGTACCATTAGTATTGCAACTCTTCGCTGGCTGCTGAAGATAAGGATTAAGCGCATATATAAATGCCCAGAATGCTGTGATGTCTTTCTTGACTCCGCAATTGAACATAAACGACAACAAATAAATTTACTTCCCCTATCAATGTATTATGAAGACACGCCTCTAAACACAAAAATAGAGCCAGAAATTCAGATGTTTTATATAAAATCTAAAAGTTCACTCTACTTATTTACAGTGGTTCAAAAAAGATCAAAGGAACTGGCTAATATTCAGCATCCGGGGCATCTAAAAAATACCACTTTTGTTGCGTCATGGATATTCTAAGGCTGCACGCAAAAAATCAGGCAGTTTCCAAGAAAATGGCTGGCATGTGTGTTTCAATTGTTGAACAATTGTTGAACAAAACTATTGATGAGACAGATTGTGAATAGAGAATGGAGGAGGATCTGAAGCCATGACTTCTTCTTTTTAAAAGGGGATATGGTGCTGTGGTTTACAGTTAGGCTGTGGTATTGGCACTTTCTGGCATAACACATCCAATATAGGAACTCTTCTACTTTTTTGCGATATGGTTCTTAAAGGGCAATGGGTTCTTTCTCTGTTCCTACAACATGGGGCTCTGGAAACAATACAGGGATGTAGCAATGACCAAAACAGACGATAACCTTCTTCTTCTGTCGTTGCTGGCAAGCTATACTGTGGTTTATAGCTAGACTGCAATATCTGCACCTTTTGATCCAACACATTCAATTTAAACAAACCCTTTTTAATTAGTCAGACAGTTAGAGGGCAGTGAGTCTATTTCCCCCTACACCCCATCCCCCCAAAGTGGGGCCTCAAAACTCAAAAAGAGACACAGATGACCACAAGCTTTGGGTTTAGATTTGATGGGTGATCAAACATTAGCTACATGAACAGAGTCTGTCTGCTCTATGGTTAAAGGGGAAGCATCCACGGAGAGCTCCAGGATCAAACCTGAAACAGTGTCTCGGGGATCCAGGGCTAGATCTGAGACAGATTTGGATAAGTCAAGGACTATATTTGAGACAGATTTGGATAAATCAAGGACTAGATTTGAGACAGATTTGGATAAGTCAAGGACTAGATTTGAGACAGATTTGAATAAATCCAGGGCTAGATTTGAGACAAATTTGGATAAGTCAAGGACTAGATTTGAGACAGATTTGGATAAGTCCAGGACTAGATTTGAGACAGATTTGAGACAGATTTGAGACAGATTTGGATAAGTCAAGGACTAGATTTGAGACAGATTTGAGACAGATTTGGATCAATCAAGGACTAGATGTGAACTGTTTTGTTGTTGTTGGGAAGAACAAGGCCAAGGTGAATCTGAAAATAGTACACAAGGAAAACAAAACTGAATTAAAGGTATCACAAAGGGGTGTCAGTAAGGTTGGGGAATGGGGCAACAGGACAATAAAGGCAATGGAAGGCAGAAAAAACAATATATAGGTTTTCTTTGTGAGGAAGATCATATTAAATAACGCTGGAAAGGAACAAACATGCAATTAGATAAGGGCAGATAATGCAAAACTGAAATGTTTCCTTAGTCAATTCCATCAAGACAACTCCATTATGCTTTTTACCAGTCTATGATGTTTTCATCATGTTTCTGTACAACCACATCTCTAAAACTATCTCAGTTTCTCATTAACCCTTTTAGCACGGGAAGTTTTTCAGAGGTCTAGCCAAAAACACGGAGCCTTTTTTCAGTGAATTTGGTTTTTACTTTATTTAATTTTTTTGACAGATTTCTGTTATTCTGACCCCTATAAAATAATATATCTATTTGAAGGATATAGATTGAAGTTCGTGATTTTCACAATATCGTTAAAATTAATTGATGTATATGCAAATTATCTCATTTGCATATCTACAAATAGAAAATATGAATTTGAATTTTCAACTTCAATGCTTGAAACATAAAACTAAAAACACAATTTTTTTTTTAAATCTTTTTATTGATCTTTGGCCTTTTTACAAATGTTGTAAGCAATTCAAAAGTCAAAAACAGGTATATATAGTTGAAACAGCAATAATATATGCTAGGTGACGATGTGTTTTTCACATCAGTCAGCACTAGAAATGGATGTGCCGGAGTGTAAACACCTTCGGGTGGATATACCCTGAGCCATGGTTGGGCTGTGGTCTGAACACAAACAGTCCCCCATCTGATTCCCACTTTACTACTAACACTTAATCCTGCATCAGTATCAACTTTAGTGTATCACCCGATTCAAATGTTTATCAACATCAAGTTTAGGGGCAGAAACATACGAGTCAGACATACTTTTAGCGGTTTCAGGTCACTATCTAAAAAATTCAACAACACAATTTCACTCACTCGATACCAAGTCCAGTGTGTTAAAGCTGATACAGCAGTAATATAAATGAATCACATCTCAAGTAGGAGATTTTTTAGTGGTTCGAGGCGAAACACGATCGGGCCGATCATCGGCCGTTCCGTGTTTTTGGCCAGACATCCGTCGGTCGATAATCGGCCCGTCCGTGCTAAGAGGGTTAAACTGCTGACTGTCCATGATTTACTTCTCTACTTCAGGACTGGCTTGACATTGATTACCATATCGGATACATACACATTATAATACCAGAGGAACATAGTGAACATAAAAGGGGTTCACATAAAAGTGGCATAAAAAGCCACTCAATAGTCTGCATTCAGTAAAACAATAACTGCTAGAACCTAGAATCTGGTAATCTGGTAATCCTAGTTTCAGCTTCATAGCAAACGGGTTACCCCATAGTTGCTCCGCTCCTGTGCCAACAAAAAATACACGTAGATCACAGTTTCACGCTATGCACTCAACTCAGGAGCTGGGCGACGAAACTATATCCTTCCAGTCTACAAAAGGAGCAAAAATGCCTAGCGTCCATTTTGACCTGAAGCATTATATGAGAGTTAATAAACGGTCAGCCCAGCAATACCCTCACTATTAGCTGGGGAAGGGACTAAGGACATTACATCCACCCGCAGGCGTCGCCCCTACAACGACCTGCCTGCCTTCGTTAACGACTGTTCACCCAACAGCCATGCAGTTCTTTGGCACGAAGGAGACACCTTGAACTTGGGTTTCGGACTGCCGACTGCCTACAAGATGTTATTTTATGTTTTGTTATCACACTTGATGTCACTGCACATTGTGCATACCCATGCGTGCTCAGTTCTCCGAAGCAGCAGCCACTCCAAAGTACTTCTACTAATTGTCCCCAAGAGAAGCTAGTCATATTGTCTCCTTTCTCGGCCTCGAAGACGGCAAAGACGTGCACCACCATGCTTAACGCATGCCAGTGCCAGTGTCAGGGATTCCTGATTATCCACTAGCCCAGCCTGTACAGCGTTGACGATATCTGCTCTGTCCATGCTTTTTCCCGCAATTATTAGTGCAGTGCTTGCCAGTTGGTCCGCTCGCTCATTTCCCTTTACGCCCGCATAACCCGGTGTGTAGATCCAGATTACGGAGGTTAAGTGCGATTTCCGAATGCTTTCTATCCATTCAGAGCGCATACTGCCTGTTGCTATCTTCTAAAGCATATTCATTGAGTCTGAGACAATTACTGCCTGTGTGGCGGTTTGCTCAGATACCCACGGTAAAGCTCTAGAAGCAGCGGCTATTTCCATGAACATGCTGGATGTGGTTGTCTGGTAAGCGCCGCTGTCCTCATGTATTGTTTTCACCCTTTTTTGCGCTGTGTATGCCCATGTTGACCTTGATCGGCGCTTCATGGATCCATCTGTGTAGATGATGATATCTTCTGGGTCTGAATGCTGATCTATCAGTTCCCTTACTTCTGTGTCTACGGCCACAGGAATTTGATCCCTGCAGTACCTTCCGAGTGTGATGACAACCTTAGAGATGCCATGCATGTCTACTGGTGTATTCGTCCATTCTTTTCTGTGACTGATCACGTCTAGGTCACATACCTGCTGGATTAAATCCTCAGCCTTTGCCATCCAAGAGCGGCCTCTTTTGAGACACGATCCTTTTGTGTCGTGTATAGCTTTGTGCAGAACCTAGAATCAAGTGAGGATGTGAATCTGCAACAATGACCAGACTGCAAGAACAACATGTTGAAAGGGGTGACGCCATTTTGTAACTGCCACAAATGCATTTAACTTTGCATAAATACTAAACAAACAAACAAAAGATACCTCTGACTTGACACAAACTTTAGGGTAGACGCAGCTGTCACTAGACTTAAATTCCATCTCCTCTGGAGTGAACAATCTCAAAGAGGGTGGGATCATCTGGAAATATTTCCGAGGCCAACTTGTACTGCACAAAATAAGTTGCATCACCAGCATGGCATACGGGAACATGCCTGAAAAGAAAAAACTCCTTATTTATGATTCAGTGGTATTCAGAGATTTATCAACTGGCTTCGAGTGGAGTAGCAAATGAGGGCAGGACTCTAGCCTAGCTAGGGACAAGGAAACACAATCTGAAAATTGTATGTCACGCACCACACACCTAGTGACACACACCATACACCATGGAAACACCTAGTGATAGTCACCACATACCATGGACAGAGCTAGTGATACTTACCACACACCTAGTGCCACTCACCATACACCTGGTGACACTCACCACACACCTAGTGATGCTTACTACACACCTAGTGATACTCAACATACAACTAGTAACACCACACACCCAGTGACACTCACCACAACATAGTGACACCACATACCTAGTGACACCCACCTACACCTAGTGACACCACACAACTAGTAACACTGACCACACATCTAGTTATGCCACACACTTAGTGATACTCACCACACAACTAGTGACACCACACACCTAGTGACACTGACTACACACCTGGTGACACTGACCACACACCTAGTGACACTGACAATAGACCTAGTGACACTGACCACACAATTAGTGACACCACACACCCAGTGACACTCACTACACACCTAGTGACACTGACAACACACCTAGTGACACCACACAACTAGTAATATTCATCACACACCTAGTGACACTGACCACACACCTAGTGACACCACACAACTAGTGACACTACACACCTAGTGATACTCACCACACACCTAGTGATACTCACCACATACCTAATGATACTCACCACACACCTAGTGATACTCACCACACCTAGTGATACTCACCACACACCTAGTGATACTCACCACACACCTAGTGATACTCACCACACACCTAGTGATACTCACCACACACCTAGTGATACTCACCACACACCTAGTGATACTCACCACACACCTAGTGATACTCACCACACACCTAGTGATACTCACCACACACCTACTGATACTCACCACACACCTAGTGACACTGACCACACACCTAGTGATACCACACACCTAGTGATACTACACACCTAGTGATACTCACCACACACCTAGTGATACTACACACCTAGTGATACTCACCACACACCTAGTGATACACACCACACCTAGTGATACTCACCACACACCTAGTGATACCACACACCTAGTGATACTCACCACACACCTAGTGATACTCACCACACACCTAGTGATACTCACCACACACCTAGTGATACACACCACACACCTAGTGATACTCACCACACACCTAGTGATACTCACCACACACCTAGTGATACTCACCACACACCTAGTGATACTCACCACACACCTAGTGATATTCAACACATAACTAGTGATACTCATCACACACCTTGTGATATTCAACACACACCTAGTGATACTCACCACACACCTAGTGATACTCACCACACACCTAGTGATACTCACCACACACCTAGTGATACTCACCACACACCTAGTGATACTTACCGATACTGAAAAGCTGAGAATTCATAAGGTGGAAGGATGCTGAGACAACCAGTCCAAACACACGAGTTTTGTCAAAGAACAGGAGAAAACCCATGGACAGGTCGATGAGAAGGCCACCAAGGTGAACTATGTACAAGTCAATTTGAGATTCTGTGAGCAGCATCCTGAAACAGATGGATGGGTAATCAGCTGGTGGTTGGAGGCCACACAGGTATTAACAGACAGAACTTGTACATATATCCATAGATATAAACAGACAGATAGACTGATCAACAGGTACAGGCTGACAGACAGCAGACTGACAAATGGAAGACAGACAGACAGAGAGACAGAGAGACAGAGACAGACAGACAGACAGACAGACAGACAGACAGACAGACAGACAGACAGACAGACAGACAGACAGACAGACAGACAGACAGACAGACAGACAGACAGACAGACAGACAGACAGACAGACAGACAGACAGACAGACAGACAGACAGACAGACAGACAGACAGACAGACAGACAGACAGACAGTTATGTATAATGATACATGCAAACAATAAACAGAAACAGTACTCCCTCCAGGTAAGAGACTAACAGGCAAGAATTAATGCTGACAATTTATTAAACTGAATACAGGAGACTGGACAGCTGTGTTCTTCTTCTTCCTCTTCTTCACTTCCTCTTTTACGCTGTAGGTGTCGATGGAGATATAAGGTTCTGTTTCTAGCTCTTCTGGCTGCCTCGACCATAGGCACATCGTGCTGTTGTAGAGTTTCTCTGATGTTATCCTTCCATCTTGTTCTTGGTCTACCCTGTGCTCTACGTCCTTCTTCTCTTTCCATGTATGCTTTGTATGGTATGGTGTGACAAGGCATTCTGAAACAGTGGATGAAACCATTTCACTTGCTGTCTTGGTAGGTAATCCAGAATTGGTTCTGTGCCGAACTTGTACTTATGATCTCATTCAGGTCACTCCAGACAGCCCTTCTCAGACATCTCAACAGTGGTACTAATTTTCTTTTTTGGTTTGTTGTGACTGACAAATCTGGAAGACAGACAGAGTTGTAATAAATATGCTTTGAATAAGATGTCTCTTTGTGCTGATTAGGATTGTCTTATGCTGTAAGAGGGGGGCTAGCTGTCCCAATACTTGGTTTGCTTTACTGCATCTAATGTCAATTTCTTTATCCAATTTCTCATCTTCGGTAAATGTAGTTCCCAGATATTTAAACTCAGATGACAGCTGTGTTAACTGTTTAAAAGCTTTCAAATGGTAAGTTGAGCAATTTGTAATATTCCCTCATGTGACGCCGGCTGTAATGTAAATAACTGCAATCTGCAGAATAAATATAGAGTCACAATTCTTAAAGCAAAGATTGTAGCCTCCATGCCACCCCCCCCCCCCCCCCCCCCCACATTTATGAATGTAAAGGGACAGCATTTTTTTAACACTCCAATCTTATCTTTATTTATTGAGTGACATTACTGGAGCAGTGTGGCTAAGAGGTGTGTGGCTAAGAGGTGTTGGTGTGTGGCTAAGAGGTGTTGGTGTTCACCTTGAAATCTTTACATGCTCAATGTGTCTACAATCTGACATGTCTCACTGACTCAGTACTGCAAATTTTAAGTAGACTCAGGTGATGTGATGTTTCAGTTGTGTCAGTGTGAAATTGGTTCTTTAGTGAGAACCAGAGTTTGGCATGACAGTGCTTACTTAATAATAACAAGGAAAAAAAAATATATATATATATCTCTGTGTGTGTATATGTGCACATGTACGTGCACATGTGTGCATGTGCATATGCATGTGTGTATGTGTGTGTGTTATCAGGGATACTAGGGTTTGGTCAACTAGTTCAGAGTTAATTAGATTGGTGTAATGGAAAGTGTTCATTCTTAGGGTATAAACTATGAGAAGGAATTTGTGTCCTACCTGAGAATGTATTATCCTGTTAGAGCAGGTGAATCCAGTTATAAGGCCTAATTGAATTCTGGGTTATATGAGACGATAGTAGAGAATTAAGTAGTTAGTTGAGGTTTGGATGACCATCCAAGTCAGACGTTTTCAGAGGAGTTTGAGGAAAGAATGTGTGATCTGTTCTCTTTATGAGGATATTGTAGTGACATTTCTCTTGGTAAGGATTTTGCTTTATCCCAGTCAGCGGCAGATCGTTCTAAGTCAGCTTAAGCTTACAAGGCACGAGTATATTAACTGGATGTGTATTAATTGTTAAGATCGCCAGTTAAGACTTATCGTATATACATAATCATCATCATATCGTGACGTGTTACTTTATGTAAATGAGTTTATGTGGATTATCACATGCGTTATTGTTGAGTCTTTGAGACAGTCACAGTTTTATTTGCTGCTGCTGTGTCAAGTGTGCACAGTGTTATTTCCTGTTGCTGCGTCAAGTGTGCACAGTGTTATTTGCTGATGCTGCATCAAGTGTGCACAATGTTAAAATATGCGGGACTACAAATAATAGCAGCACGTCCATTGAGGGGAGATCCAGCAGCATATCAGCGTAGGGACCCTAGACCTACATACGTGATTGGTTTCAAATACTGAGATGTATCAGTGCAGAAAAATAAACATTATATGAACTAAGATCAACTGCTCTGTATGTCCACAGTCTGTATTGGGGAAATCGAGTACAACAGGGACCTCTGAAGGGATGCTTGCAGCTGTGCATGTAGCATACCTGACTCTACCTTTCTTAACATGCTTTGTGAGTCGGTTACAATCACGACATGCGTGTGCGTGCAGCTGGTCCTCAAGCCAGCGGAAAGCCACTGTGGCTCCACCTGCATTCACAAACTAGATGTTGTAGTTTGATAAGCTAGACTTTGCTGAGTTAAGTGTCAGTCTACATGAATCCGCATGTCCTTCTTCTACATCTCAAACCAGATCCATCTGTATAGATAATTACATCTCCTGTGTGGGAACTACATGAATCAACTGTTGATTTTCTGATTCTGCAGTGCCTGCTGGCCAATCTTTGCACTCCTTGATATGAATCCTATACAAATCTCTCTCTCTCTGTGTGCGTATGTGTGTGCATGTGTGTGTGTGGTGACATACAGAAGAGGTGTGTTTCATTCTGACACAAACCAGCAGAGGTGTGACTCACCGCAGCGGGGAGAAGACCCAATGTTTGGAGAGTGACTGCATGGAGTAGCCTGATACCCAGTCCATGTCCAGCTTCTTCAGTCCGGCAATGAAGTACACAATGAACATCTGAAACAGCAAACAACAAAGAAACCATCAAATCCTCTTTTGCTGCTGTCCTCGGTGCAGTGTGTTGTTAGACATTATGGAGAAGGTGTAGGCTACTTCTGTTGGCCAGATGCACAGCAATATTTGTACACTAAGCTTGTGAAGAACTTTCCCTAACTCAATCATCTATATCTTTATTATTCTTCTTGCTCCACTGACTTCTAGATGGCTGTAATCTGCTTGTGAAGAACTTTCCCTAACTCAATCATCTATATCTTTATTATTCTTCTTGCTCCACTGCCGTCTAGATGGCTGTAATCTGCTTGTGAAGGACTTTCCCTAACTCAATCATCCGTATCTTTATTATTCTTCTTGCTCCACTGCCGTCTAGATGGCTGTAATCTGCTTGTGAAGAACTTTCCCTAATTCAATCATCCGTATCTTTATTATTCTTCTTGCTCCACTGCCGTCTAGATGGCTGTAATCTGCTTGTGAAGAACTTTCCCTAACTCAATCATCCGTATCTTTATTATTCTTTTTGCTCCACTGCCTTCTAGATGGCTGTAACCTGCTTGTGAAGGACTTCCCCTAACTCAATCATCCGTATCTTTATTATTCTTTTTGCTCCACTGCCGTCTAGATGGCTGTAACCTGCTTGTGAAGGTTGTATTTTCCAGCACATTCTTGTTATGTTTATAAAATGATCTCTGTCTATGTATGAGGATGTAAAGTAAACGAACCCTTTCCCCGCTTCCAGGCATGCTGGATATATAGTGCTAGACTTATTTTTTATAGACCAATCATCACTTAGAACACCCAGCCAGCTGGTATCAGGATGTAGCCACCTGTTTACTGATTTCACCATTTTCACAAATTCTGACTCCTCTTGTGACCACAACAATTTTTACTGGGCAGCAGATTTCATACAGAGACAGTCAACAATGAAGAACTAGGAACAACAGCAGGCACAGTGCTAGTCAATGATTTCACAGAACATCCAAGAATCAAATGGTTTGGTCATGTGGTCAGAATGGAACAAAACCAGCCAGCAGCTCGAGCATACTACATGAGAACAGCAGGCTACAAGCCAAGAAGCAGACCAAGAAAGATATGGGTGGAGGGGGTAAAATAAAAATGACAATAACAAAAGCCAGGCAACTAGAATAGACAGGAAATGACATCCAACACCTCTCTGCAACACTGTAAAGAATAAGTAGTGGGGATAAAGAAGAGGGAGCAGATTTTATGACAGCCATGGCGGCATATTTGTCTCAACATACATGGGAACATACATGGCAACATACATGGTAACATACATGGTAACATACATGGTAACATACATGGCAACATACATGGTAACATACATGGTAACATACATGGTAACATACATGGTAACATACATGGTAACATACATGGCAACATACATGGCAACATACATGGCAACATACATGGCAACATACATGGCAACATACATGGCAACATACATGGTAACATACATGTTAACATACATGGTAACATACATGGTAACATACATGGTAACATACATGGTAACATACATGGTAACATACATGGTAACATACATGGTAACATACATGGTAACATACATGGTAACATACATGGTAACATACATGGTAACATACATGGTAACATACATGGCAACATACATGGCAACATACATGGCAACATACATGGCAACATACATGGTAACATACATGGTAACATACATGGTAACATACATGGTAACATACATGGTAACATACATGGTAACATACATGGTAACATACATGGTAACATACATGGTAACATACATGGTAACATTCATGGTAACATACATGGTAACATACATGGTAACATTCATGGTAACATTCATGGTAACATACATGGTAACATACATGGCAACATACATGGCAACATACATGGCAACATACATGGTAACATACATGGTAACATACATGGTAACATACATGGTAACATACATGGTAACATACATGGTAACATACATGGTAACATACATGGTAACATACATGATAACATACATGGTAACATACATGGTACCATACATGGTAACATACATGGTAACATACATGGTACCATACATGGTACCATACATGGTAACATACATGGTAACATACATGGTACCATACATGGTAACATACATGGTAACATACATGGTAACATACATGGTAACATACATGGTAACATACATGGTAACGTACTGGCCAGATGCTCTCCTGCTGGGCCAAAGGTATGGGGTTCAAACCTGCATCAAGGCAGAATTTTTTTGCAAAACTGATTTCATCTCCCAGGTCAACCCAGCTTAAAATGGGTAGCAGGAATGTTCTAGAAGGTAAAGTCGGCCGATGCAATGCTGACCTCATCACCCATTGGATGCCTATACAAATTTGAGTCTAGAACATACGTCCAAGAGCCATTGGTATACAATTCTTCTTTCCTCTTCTGTCCATCTTGGTTATCTTCCAGATATTTAAACTCATTAACACAGAACTGGCTTCACTAACCTTGAAATGTCCTATCTGGGGAATATATCTTTTTTCACAACCTATATCCTCAAACAGTTAATACAGTAGAACCTCGCTTAACGAGCACCTCTCAAAACGAGTAATTCGCATAACGAGCAAAACAAATTGTAAAAGAATGACTTGCTTAACGAGCAAAGTTTCACATAACGAGTGGCGAGGAGAGGGGAAGTCATAGATTGTGCATGTTACATCAGTCTGTGTTTAGCACTCATTTCAGTAGCACCGTAGTGTCGCTTGTGATCACGTATTTTCTCAAACTTGTGTTATATTGTGATATACGTACTTGAATCCCCCAGGTCTACAAGTTGACCTCCCTGAAGAATTTAAGTTCATCAAGATCCAGTTTCTGCCTCCCAACACCACTCTGTTACTCCAGCCCATGGACCAGCAAGTTATTTCTAACTTTAAAAAGCTCTACACTAAAGCACTCCTTGAGCATTAATTTCATGTGACTGAAGGAACCAACCTCATGTTCAAAGAGTTTTGGAAAAATCACTTCCACAACGTTGTCTGCCTAAAGATGATCGACAAGGCGGAGGAAGGGGTTACCAAAAGAACCCTGACTTCTGCTCTGGAGGGAGAGCGTTGTCGAATTGTGACTTTGAAGGGTTTGAGACAGTACCTGTGAAACCTATAGTCAACGAGATTGTGTCTTTGGCCACTATCATGGGATTTTAGATAGTTAACAGTGATATCGAAGAGCTTGTGAAAGAGCACAGCCAAGAGCTGACAACCGAAGAGCTAATGGAGTTGCATTGTGTTTCACAGCGAGAAGTTTTGAAAGATAGTTTGTCAGAGGAGGAGGAGGAGGAGCTAACAGAAAAGCAACAATCTTCATAATTATTTCAACTTTTTTTTTCTGCAAATCGAATTCGCATTCCAGGTGGATTTGTTCTGCATTTAAAGAAAAGATGAAGATGATTCACTCTCCTTAACAATATGTATATAATTTACTTTAAAAAAACGTTATACATAACATTTTGTGAGTATTTATTTCGACATGGTATGCATTATCGTATTTTACATTATTTTTATGAGAAAATTGTTTTGCATAACGAGTGTTTCATTTAACGAGTATGATTCTGAAACGAATTATGCTCGTTTAGCAAGGTTCCATTGAATTCTGGTTTCTCCACACGTTATACAAGTAAGTCGGTGAAAGACTCTTTTCATGCCAGTGAAAGCGTAAGGCATATGATGCACAGGTGTTATAAAGAACAGAACATTATGAGTTCTTCTAGGGTTCTTACATACTATATGAAAGTGAATCTGATGTCTGCTTGTATATGGTAGATACAAGGCAGCAAGTAACATTTGTATATTGCATCATTACCAAGTTGACACCAGGTTATCATCCACACTGTAGACTGTTTGTTTGGTTTGCTGGTCTCCATGACAGGCAGTGGAGGAGAAAACAAGACAAACTGCAAACTAAAGCAAAACAAAAGAAAGAAAAAGGAGACAAAAAGACAACATCAAAGTATCAAAGTAACACTAAAGAAGAAGTTACCTGTGTGCGGAGACAACATCAAAGTATCAAAGTAACACTAAAGAAGAAGTTACCAGTGTGCGGAGACAACATCAAAGTATCAAAGTAACACTAAAGAAGAAGTTACCTGTGTGCGGAGACAACATCAAAGTATTAAAGTAACACTAAAGAAGAAGAAGTTACCTGTGTGCGGAGACAACATCAAAGTATTAAAGTAACACTAAAGAAGAAGTTACCTGTGTGCGGAGACAACATCAAAGTATTAAAGTAACACTAAAGAAGAAGAAGTTACCTGTGTGCAGACAACATCAAAGTATTAAAGTAACACTCAAAGAAGAAGTTACCTTGTGCGGAGAAGTATTAAAGTAACACTAAAGAAGAAGAAGTTACCTGTGTGCGGAGACAACATCAAAGTATCAAAGTAACACTAAAGAAGAAGTTACCTGTGTGCCTGTGTGCAGAGACAACATCAAAGTATTAAAGTAACACTAAAGAAGAAGAGTTACCTGTGTGCGGAGACAACATCAAAGTATTAAAGTAACACTAAAGAAGAAGAAGTTACCTGTGTGCGGAGACAACATCAAAGTATTAAAGTAACACTAAAAGAAGAAGAAGTTACCTGTGTGTGCGGAGACAACATCAAAGTATTAAAGTAACACTAAAGAAGAAGAAGTTACCTGTGTGCAAACATCAAAGTATTAACACTAAAGAAGAAACCTGTGTGCGGAGACAAATCAAAGTATCAAAGTAACACTAAAGAAGAAGTTACCTGTGTGCGGAGACAACATCAAAGTATTAAAGTAAGACACTAAAGAAGAAGAAGTTACCTGTGTGCGGAGACAACATCAAAGTATTAAAGTAACACTAAAGAAGAAGTTACCTGTGTGCGGAGACACTAAAGTAAGTAACACTAAAGAAGAAGAAGTTACCTGTGTGCGGAGACAACATCAATTAAAGTATTAAAGAAGAAGAAGTAAGACACTAAAGATCAAAGTAACACTAAAGAAGAAGTTACCTGTGTGCGGAGACAACATCATCAAAGTATTAAAGTAACACTAAAGAAGAAAGTAAGAAGAAAGTTACCTGTGTGCAGAGACAACATCAAAGTATTAAAGTAACACTAAAGAAGAAGTTACCTGTGTGCGGAGACAACATCAAAGTATTAAGTAACACTAAAGAAAAGTAAGACAACATCAAAGTATTAAAGTAACACTAAAGAAGAAGAAGTTACCTGTGTGCAGAGACAACATCAAAGTATCAAAGTAACACTAAAGAAGAAGAAGTTACCTGTGTGCGGAGACAACATCAAAGTATTAAAGTAACACTAAAGAAGAAGAAGTTACCTGTGTGCGGAGACAACATCAAAGTATTAAAGTAACACTAAAGAAGAAGAAGTTACCTGTGTGCGGAGACAACATCAAAGTATTAAAGTAACACTAAAGAAGAAGTTACCTGTGTGCGGAGACAACATCAAAGTATTAAAGTAACACTAAAGAAGAAGAAGTTACCTGTGTGCGGAGACAACATCAAAGTATTAAAGTAACACTAAAGAAGAAGAAGTTACCTGTGTGCGGAGACAACATCAAAGTAAGAAGAAGAAGTTACCTGTGTGCGGAGACAACATCAAAGTATTAAAGTAACACTAAAGAAGAAGAAGTTACCTGTGTGCGGAGACAACATCAAAGTATTAAAGTAACACTAAAGAAGAAGAAGTTACCTGTGTGCGGAGACAACATCAAAGTATTAAAGTAACACTAAAGAAGAAGAAGTTACCTGTGTGCGGAGACAACATCAAAGTATTTAAAGTATTAAAGTAACACTAAAGAAGAAGAAGTTACCTGTGTGCGGAGACAACAAAAGTATTAAAGTAACACTAAAGAAGAAGAAGTTACCTGTGTGCGGAGACAACATCAAAGTATTAAAGTAACACTAAAGAAGAAGAAGTTACCTGTGTGCGGAGACAACATCAAAGTATTAAAGTAACACTAAAGAAGAAGAAGTTACCTGTGTGCAGAGACAACATCAAAGTATTAACACTAAAGAAGAAGAAGTTACCTGTGTGCGGAGACAAACATCAAAGTATTAAAGTAACACTAAAGAAGAAGAAGTTACCTGTGTGCGGAGACAACATCAAAGTATCCAAAGTAACACTACATCAACATCAAGTATTAAAGTAACACTAAAGAAGAAGAAAAGTTACCTGTGTGCGGAGACCAACATCAAAGTATCAAAGTAACACTAAAGAAGAAGAAGTTACCTGTGTGCGGAGACACACCCACAGAGATGTGCTTCAGCAGTATGGCCACATGTGAGCATGCCTGCTCACCCACAGAGGTGTGCTCCAGCAGTATGGCCACATGTGAGCATGCCTGCTCACCCACAGACAGCATCAGCTGCTGGAAGTCAGCTTGTCAGACATTTAGTAACATGATAAAGCTACATTTTATTCGTTTAACCACGTTTTGGAATACGCCTAATGGTCAATACATGTCACACCAAACATAAAGAATTCGGAATATGCAGTTTTAGTTGTAGGCCTTCTTTCCAAACTGTATCAAAAGCACGAGAGGTCAAAGAAGACAGCAAAAACTTTCTTTTTTTCCTAGAAGGCATTCTCAATTTCCTGTGCCAGATATGATAACTGGTCCTCTGTGTTTCTGTGCTGTCTGTATCCTGTCTGTGTTGTTGTGATTACAAAGTTTGTCTCTAAGAACCACATTAGTCTTTTATTTACTAATTTCTCCATCAATTTTCCCACACAACTAAGAAGGCTGGTGGGTCTGTAGCTTTTTGGGTCTCTTCTGTCTCCACCCTTTTTAAGGATAGGCTGGATGAGGTCTTCCTTCCAGGCTGACGGTACACCTTTTTGCCAACTCTGGTTGTAAATGCAGAGAAGAAACTTCTTGGCAGTAGGTCCAAGATGAGAGAGAAATTTGTTTGTAGTGCTGTCAGCCCCTGGGGCTTTCTTCATTTTCAACTCTCCAATTCCAACTTCCAGCTCTTGCATGGTAAACTTTTCTGACATGCAGGCCTCGGTTGCTTTTGTGCTAGAGTCTGCAAGAAGAGTCTTGGTCTGGTTTCGTACTTCTTTTATTCTTTGCATGCGAATATGAACCTCAGTTTCCTTCTGGTGTGTTTCAGCTAGCACATCTGCTGCTACCTTGCCAGTAACGGTTCCATCGTCTGTTCGGAGTACAACTCTGGCTTTTTTCTGTCTTGTCTCCATTCAGGCTTTTTGTGAGATTCCACAGACGTGAAGTGTCCTTCTCGAGGTACAGCGTTTCTAATTTCCTCTTTAGATGGTATCTCAAATTTGATATCCTATTCAAAAGGCTGGATATCCGGAAGAATTTCTGGACCTAGTCTATTCAGAAGTATTTAAAAATATTCAGCCCATCTGTTTATTTGACCCCTAGTGTTAGTAAGTACCTTTCCTTGACTATTTTTGATTGATCCAGTTGGCTGACTGTATTTACCTGCTGATTTCCTTGTGTTATTGTAAAGTTCTCTGAGGTTTCCTTTCGCTGCTGCTGTCTCCGCTTCTTGTGCTAGATCATTTAGATATTTCACTTTATCTGCCCTTATATGCCTCCTAACTTCCTTATTTGCTTCTGTGTATTTTTCCTGAGCTCTAGCTTTAGCAGCTCTAGTTTTGCTATTGTTTAAATCTGTTTCTTAACCCGGTCAACAAATGCCCACAGAAGTTGGATGTGTTGGCCGAAAGGTGCAAATATCGCAGCCATGCTGTAAACAGACACAACGCAATTACATCTTCGGATGAGCGCAGAAGAAGAAGAAGAAGAAGAAGAAGAAATCTGCTTTTTTTTGCTTGTCCCTTCTTCTATCATTCTAATAGTTTCTGGTGTTATCCCTGCTTTGTTTCCATTCTTTCTTATTAAGGACTTCTACACAAGATTCATTCCAGATTCCCTTGATCTGAACCCAGCAGACTTCTGTGCTGACATCTTCAGCTAACTGCTGCAACACCTGGTACTTATTAGAGACTGTTACTGAAAACTTTTCCTCAACTGCTTTACTCCTGAGATAATCTACATTATATTGGTTTCTATGGTTAAAAGATGTTATATGTCTTTTAAGTTTCAACTTGATTTTATTTACCAACAGATAATGGTCAGTAAATACATTTCCTTTCAGTTTCTATAAAGTGTTTTTTGTAGTGAATATAAGAATCACACGCAAAAAAGAGGTTGTAATTTTGTTTGTTTGTTTGTTAATGATATTATAGACCCCACAAATCTGTTCTGTGGACCCCTGAGAGTTCACCAACCATCAGTTAGGAACCATGACCAGAAGAAGAATCAAACTTGACACCTCCAAGACAGGAGACGGCTGTGCTAATGCTCCACCACAGAGAAACCATGTGCCTGTTCAGATGTACTCATAAACAAACACAGCCACAGTACTTACAAAATAAACAAATGAAAGAAACAAGTACGGACAAACTCACCAATATCTGTTGGCATCAGAGATGGCCAAGAGGAAAGCCAGAATGCCAAATAGATAGGAATGGTTATTCCAAGCTGTTTTGTCCAGGAAGAACACGTACCAATATGTGGCTAGAAAGGCCAGGGAACTGAGACGCATCTGAAAGCCCAGCATGACACCAATGGCTCCTGGATGTGGTAGAAAACGTGTCAATTGGTTTTCTTTCTTTTTGAAAAGTTAAAAGAATCTGACCCCAATGTTTTAGTTCATAAACCATAATAACATGTTTTAGTTCACAAACCATAAATAACATGTTTTAGTTCACAAACCATAAATAACATGTTCCAGTTCATAAACCATAAAAAAATGTTTTAGTTCATAAACCATAAATAACATGTTTTGTTCATAAACTATAAATAACATGTTTTAGTTCACAAACCATAAATAACATGTTTTAGTTCACAAACCATAAATAACATGTTCCAGTTCATAAACCATAATAATATGTTTTAGTTCATAAACCATAAATAACATGTTTTGTTCATAAACTATAAATAACATGTTTTAGTTCACAAACCATAAATAACATGTTTTAGTTCCTAAACCATGTTGTTGTTGTTGTTATCGATCCAGCGGCGCATGAGCTTTCGCCCTTTGGCCCAATGCCATGTAGTGGAATTTGCATGTTTTCACAAGCTGTTCTTTTCCTCCGTACAAGGTGTTCCACTTGTCTGGTCTCGGAGGGAGTAGCGTTCTTCTTGTCTCACTGAGTTCTGGGCACTCAAAGAGATGGTGTTCAACAGTTTCGTAGGGGTAGTTACATAGCTGGCACTATGGGGAGTGTTGTGGCTGTATTCTGTTTAGGTGTCCATTGAGTGGAGTATGTTGCGTTCTAAGTCTGAAGATGGTGGCCTGGTCCCTTCTTGTTAGATGGTTAATGCTGTCATTAGGATCAGGGCCAGACATATGTCTATAAACCTCTCTTCCAGTGTCTCCCATGGCCCATCTGTTCAACCAAGTCTCTTTGTTTATAGCTCTTATCAGTGTTTTTGCTGTCTGGAGGGTTGTCGCTGTAGGTGGTTGTTCTTGTGTTGCTCCTTTCTTTGCCAATCTGTCAGCTCTGTCATTACCTGGTGTGCCGGAGTGACCTGGAATCCACTGCATCACTATTCTGATGTTGTATGAGGTAATAAGCTGATCAGCATCCAGGATTATCTTGGCTATATCAGTTCTGCAGCGTTCACTGCCCTCCAGAGCTTGAAGGGCAGACATTGAATCTGTGAAGATGACAATATTTTGGACCTTTGAAGGGTAAACATCCATTACAGTCTTTAGGTGGTATACTGCTGTTTCCAGTGCAATTATTTCAGCTTCATAGTTTTTTGAACAGAATTCCCCGCATGCATCAAAAATACTCTTCAACAGATCCATCGGGATAACCTATGTAGATTCCGTAACCTGCTTTAATGGTAGCTTTAAATGCTGATCCATCAGTATAGACATGTATCCATTCTTGGGGAGTAAGAATCAACGGTCTTTAGTGATGAGTTCATAAGAGCGATTGGGTCGGGACTGTTTGGTTTCCTTGCCTACCAATTTAGTTCGGACTTCTGGAGCTTTAAAGCGAGCATGTGGTGGTAGGTTTCTTGCAACATTCTGAATTCCTTGACAATCTTTCTGGGAGGTGGTATCTGTCCCTGAATTTCATTAACACAGTGTAAAACCGATTTGTGCTTTATTCTTTGTTTGTATTCCCAGTTTTCTACAAGATGTCTATTAGGATGGTTACGATTTTTCCTAACGCATCTTTCATAAATTTCTAAAGTGGCTTTTTCTCTCCGCAACCCGAGGGGTTCCACATTTGTATGGATTTCACATGCAGCAGTTGGTGTAGACTGCAAAGCTCCGCAGATTAATCGGAAGGCATTATTTTGTACTCTGTCAAGAGTCTCTAGGTTAGTTTTGGAGGAAGTTGTAAGCAGTGAGTTGTTGTACTCTACCACAGAGCGAACATATCCTAGATATAAGCCCCTCAGAGTTTCCTTGTCTGATCCCCATGATGTACCTGCAAGTCTCTTTAATAACTGTAACCGCCTCAATGCCTTATTCCTGATGTTTTCAATATGGTTCTTGAGGCTGAGCTGCCGGTCAAGTGTGACTCCAAGGTATGTGGGATGCTCTTCTTTCATCACTTGGTGTTTGTCTAACCTCAGGTTAATATTCTTCCTTGCTACTTGGTGGCTTTTGGTAAAGATTGTGTAGACCGTCTTTGCACAGTTAACCTTGAGTTTCCATCTTTGGCAGTACTCATGCAGTCTTCTTAGGTCTCCATTCAGTCTTTGGGCTCCACTTTCCAAATTTTCATGACTCTGCCATATTGCTAGGTCATCAGCGTACAAGGCTTTTTCGGCTTTGATTTGTTCTGGCAGGTCATTGATAAAGATTAGGAATAGTGTACAGCTTAATGATGAGCCTTGTGGCAAGCCCTCCTCCAAGACTTCTTTAGAAGAGATTGCGTTGTGCATCTTAGTCTGGATTGTTCTATCTACCAGGAAGTATTTCACCCAGTTATACAATCTGCCATGTATTCCTATGCTCGTCATCTTCATCAGGAGACCTTTTCTCCATACTCTGTCATAGGCCTGCTGGAGGTCGACAAAGACTGCCACTGTGTGTTTCTTATTCTGGAAGCCATCATGTATTCTTTGTGTCAGTCTGAACAGCTGGTCTTCTGTACAGTTGTTGGTTCTAAAGCCTGCCTGTTCATGGCATAGAACACCAGAACTCTCAAGGAACCAATATAAGCGCCTGTTTATAATTCTTTCTGCAACTTTGCCCAAACATGATGTTAAGGATATTGGGCGGTAGCTTTTGGGGTCATCTGGACGCTTTTTGGTTTTAAGAATGGGGACGATATATGCATTCCTCCATGCCTTTGGAAGTTTGCTTGACCTCCAAGTTTTATTAATAAGCCTAAGAACTACTTCTCTCCCAGACTGGCCAAGATGTAGCAGCATTTCGTTGTGGATCTTATCTGGGCCTGGAGATTTTCTAGGTTTTAACTTCTTCAGGGCTTGCTCTAATTCATCCATGCTAAATAACATGTTTTAGTTCATAAACCATAAATAACATGTTTTAGTTCATAGACTATAAATAACATGTTTTAGTTCATAAACCATAATAACATGTTTTAGTTCATAAACCATAAATAACATGTTTTAGTTCATAAACCATAAATAACATGTTTTAGTTCATAAACCATAAATAACAGTTTTAGTTCATAAACCATAAATAACATGTTTTAGTTCATAAACCATAAATAACATGGTTTAGTTCATAAACCATAAATAACAGTTTTAGTTCTTAAACCATAAATAACATGTTTTCTTCTTCTTCTTCTTTCGTTCGCCTGAAATAAGTTGTCTATATCAGCAGTTTTGTCTCTTGTATACATTTCACTGTCGTTGTTAGTTCATTCAGTGGTCCATAGAGTTTACGTTCCACTGTTGTTCTTTCTGGCCAAATGGTTTGCCTTAATGTGTCAAATTTGGTGCAGTCCTGGAGTACATGCTGTGCTGTTTTGGGCACATTTCCACAGGTGCACATGGCTGATACACCTATCTTGAATTTTGTGTACATGTGGTTACGTAATCGGTTGTGCCCTGTTCTGAGGCGGAGGATAATGACTTGTTCTGGTCTGTCCATAATAAAATAGTCGTCTTGTGCTGGGGCTGGTGGTTTCCTGATCGATTTAATGGTTCTTTTCTTATGGTGGTATGTGACTGGTACATCAGGATGCTCTTTTGTCGCACATTCCCCTGGCAGTTAATCAGCTTTCTCATTTCCAGGCACTCCACAGTGAGACGGCATCCACTGCATTACGACTCTTCGCTGAACGCTGTTTTAGTTCATAAACCATAATAACATGTTTTAGTTCATAAACCATAAATGTTTTAGTTCATAAACCATAAATAACATGTTTTAGTTCATAAACCATAAATAACATGTTTTAGTTCATAAACCATAAATAACATGTTTTAGTTCATAAACCATAAATAACATGTTTTAGTTCATAAACCATAAATACCAGTTTTAGTTCATAAACCATAAATAACATGTTTTAGTTCATAAACACCCTGAATGTCAAGAGAAGTTATTATCCTGTTTGATTCTTCTGGGTTATCGTTTCACAAGTCAAAAGAAATCAAATATCAACCTCCAGTATGAGAATAGAGACTGAGACTGCGGCATCTAGTCGATACTTGAAGCTAAGTGATAGGAGCCAGGTTCCACATTTAAATAAGCACAAGACATACTGTGCTAGCTTGATACTGTATATATCAAATGGCACTCAGTGGGTGATGTAGTCAGTTTTCACTGGTACTTTTTACTTCCCAAGATATTTCCTCATGCTTCTTTTAAGGCTGGGTTGACCGAAGAGCCCACGTCAATTAACCTGCACCCCACCTTGTCGCTGTTTTTCTTTGTCTTGTCAATTCTGTTCAACCGTTTGATTTTTATTTAGGTACGTTTCATACAGGAGCATATGTTTATCCCACCCGATGAGAATGTCGATATGCCATATCATGGACATGTACATATGTCATCCAATGAGCATGTGTATATCAATATCTCATACAAAGACAATGTCTATATCCTATGTGATAAGAATTGTCATATCCCATCTGATGAGAATGTCCACATACCATCAGATGAGAATGTCCACACACCATCTGGTGAAAATGTCCACACACCATCTGTTGCAAATGTCCATATTCCATCTGATGAGAATGTCCACATCCCATCTGATGAGAATGTCAATATCCCAACTGATGGGAATATCCATATCCCATATGATTATAAAGTCCACATCCCATCTTATGAGTATGTGCACATCCCATCTTATGAGTACGTCCACATCCCATCTGATGAGTACGTCCACATCCCATCTGATGAGTATGTCCACATTCCATCTGATGAGTACGTCCACATCCCATCTGATGAGTATGTCCACATCCCATCTGATGAGTACGTTCACATCCCATCTTTTAAGTACGTCCACATACGTCCACATCCCATCTGATGAGTATGTCCACATCCAATCTGATGAGTATGTTCACATCCCATCTGATGAGTATGTCCACATCCCATCTGATGAGTATGTCCACATCCCATCTGATGAGTACGTCCACATCCCATCTGATGAGAATGTCCACATCCCATCTGATGAGTACGTCCACATCTCATCTGATGAGTATGTCCACATCCCATCTGATGAAACTGTCCATATCACATCTGATGAGAATTTCCATATCCGATCTGATAACAACGTCTATATCCCATTTGAGGAGAATATTTATACACCATACAGACAGAATAAAGAAAAATGAGATAGAAGAAGAGCAGGTAAAACTGATAATAAAATAAATTCGAAGAAAGAAGGAAAAGTATTAAAATAGTGTGATATAAAATGTTGGAAGAAAAGGTGAAGTTATGAAACAAATTTTGGGAAGAGCACGAAAAAATGCAGGAATACAGAGGATATCTCACCTGATATCATGACCAAGTACACAACATACATCCACTGTAAGGGTAAAGGTCGCAGGAAATGAAACAGTGGAAACCTGCACTGTTCGTCACTACCCCACCAGCTGTCAGCAGCCGCAAGTCCCCGCTCCTGGACAATGTCCAGTGTCATGAGGAGCCCTGTAAAACATCATCTATATTATTATGTGGAAAGTGGTTTGTAGAACATCATCCATATTATTATGTGGTTTGTAAAACATCATCAATATTATTATATGGTTTGTAGAACATCATCAACATTAGTTTGTGGTGAGTGGTTTGTAGAACATCATCCATATTATTATATGGCAAGTGGTTTGTAGAACATCATCCACATTATTATGTGGTCAGTTGTTTGTAGAACATCATCCATATTATTATGTGGTGAGTGGTTTGTAGAACATCATCCATATTATTATGTAGCCAGTTGTTTGTAGAACATCATCTATATTATTATGTGGCGAGTGGTTTGTAAAACATCATCCATATTATTGTGGTTTGTAGAGCATCATCCATATTATTATGTAGTGGGTGGTTTGTAAAACATCATCCATATTATTATGTGGTTTGTAGAACATTATCCATATTATTATGTGGTGGGTGGTTTGTAAAGCATCATCCATATTATTATGTGGATTGTATAACATCATCCATATAATAATGTGGCGGGTAATTTGTAAAACATTATCCCTATTATTATGTGGTTTGTAGAACATCATCCATATTATTTTGTGGTTTGTAGAACATTATCCATATTATTATGTGGTGGGTGGTTTGTAAAACATTATCCATATTATTATGTGGTGGGTGGTTTGTAAAACATTATCCCCATTATTATGTGGTTTTTAGAACATCATCCATATTATTTTGTGGTTTGTAGAACATCATACATATTATTATGTGGCGGGTGGTTTGTAGAACATCATCCATATTATTAGGTAGCCAGTTGTTTGTAGAACATCATCTATATTATTATGTGGTGAGTGGTTTGTAGAACATCATCCATATTATTATGTGACAAGTGGTTTGTTGAACATCACCCATATTATTATGTGGCAAGGGGTTTGTAGAACATTATCCGTATTATTGTGTGGCAAGTGGTTTGAAGAATATTTTCCAAATTATTGTGTGGCAAGTGGTTTGTAGAACATTTTCTGTATTATTGTGTGGCAAGTGGTTTGAAGAACATCATGTATAATTTTATATGGCAAGGGCTTTGTAGAACATCACTCCCACACCAACTTGCAGGAAAGATTTTCAGTCTCTCAACAGGTTCCCTGTCTCATGTACTTTCACATTTGGGGTGGGGTGGGGGGGGGGGGGTGGGGGGGGGGGGTAGAGGGGGAGAGAGAAAAAGTGGGAGGGAGGAGAGAGGAGAGAGAGAGAGAGAGAGAGAGAAGAGAATGAGAGAGAGAGAGAGAAGAGACACCCCCCCCCCCTTTCTTAATTCACTAGGCAATTTTACGTTCAGTAGTTTCCTGAATGGTTGGCTCTTGATAAGAGTGTTGGAACCAATGCAAGGTAGTCTGCTGCCAAATCACCCAAAGCTGGGATCGTACCCAGCAATACAGAATCATGCAGGGCATTTGCAAAACCCAAGTCACAGATGATGACAAGATGTTGTAAAATACAACTAATTAGGAGTTCGCTGAGGTTAGAAGTGTAGGGCAGAAAGATGCAGATATCACAGTCTAGCTGTAAACCACACACCACATGTCAAACACAGCTTCAAAGACGAATGCAGAAAAAACTATATAAGCCTCTTAGCTTCATGTCCACTTTGTGCTGGTCAGTCCTTCCTTGACTTCCAGGGGAGCCTGCTCTCATTATAGTTCTTTATAGCCACTGCAATATTTAATATAACTGAAGTCTTTTGTCTCAGAGGAATGAACTAATAATAACTTGAAAAAATTTTATTACGACTTTCACAGCCAAAGTCAATTGTAACGCAAAATTTAAAAAAAAAGTGTTAAAAAAAACTTCTGCAAAGCGGATTTGAGCCCAAGGCTTTCAGGCTGGTGGTGAGTGTCTAGCCAGCACACGCTATTGAGACTTTTGCAATGAAACTATTACATAAAAGATTACATAAACAAAGCAGATCCACGCTGACAGACAAACTCACCAAAGAAAACTCTGAGTGTCCCGATAGAGGCAGGGTCTGTAGGGCGACAGAGAAGCCTGACAAACCTATCCCAGGATGAAAGGTCCTGGATCTGAAAGCCAAACATTTGATGGAAGCAATCATCTTGACCTGGTCGGTCCTCTTTGACAGAATCCCCACTATCTGATGCTCCATCTTCACATGCAGGCACTGAGTCCACAGACTTGTCTGATGTTTCAGGAGAGAACTTTGAAGGAGACTGGCCTTTGTGACGCTGCATTCTCAGTGTGATCACTGTTAGGTGTGGTAGAGGATGTTAACCAACCTGTGGCATACAAACAAACAAGTCAAACATTCTCAATGTGATCACTGTTAGGTGTGGTAGAGGATGTTGACCAACCTGTGGCATACAAACATGGTAGAGGATGTTGACCAACCTGTGGCATACAAACAAACAAGTCAAACATTCTCAATGTGATCACTGTTAGGTGTGGTAGAGGATGTTGACCAACCTGTGGCATACAAACATGGTAGAGGATGTTGACCAACCTGTGGCATACAAACAAACAAGTCAAACATTCTCAATGTGAACACTGCTAGGTGTGGTAGAGGGTGTTGACCAACCTGTGGCATAAAAACAAACAAGTCAAACATTCTCAATGTGAACACTGCTAGGTGTGGTAGAGGATGTTGACCAACCTGTGGCATAGAAACAAACAAGTCAAACATTTTCAGTGTGAACACTGCTAGGTGTAGTAGAGGATGTTGACCAACCTGTGGCATAAACACAAGTAAGATATTCTCAGTGTGACAACTGTAAGGTGTGGGTCTTAAATACACACATACATATATATATATATATATATGTGTGTGTGGTGAGTGTGTGTGTGTGTGTGTAGAGAGAGAAAGAGAGAGGGACAAAAACATATACACACAAGCCCACAAGCCCAACAATCCACATCCCATGGATATTCTGCTAATTAGTTGAAATATTATCAAACAAGCTTTCCCATGTGGGTTTCAAGACTGAAAAAATAAAGATATAAACACACAAAACAACCTGCCATTATGTCCTTCAGGGGCACAAGCTGAAGAAAAAAGAAGGTAACAAAGCTGTAGAGATGTGGTTTTACAGAAAAATGATGCCCAAAACATTAAAAGCAATATCTACTATTTGGATATAGGCATTATGTTTATATATTATATTTTTCTCATCCATTACCTACTTCGTTAACCCTGCATCACACCCAGGTGTTAAACAAAAATGCTTTCACAACCAGTAGTCACATTAACCCACTCTATCACAACCAATTGCCATAATAACCACTCTATCACAACCAGTTGCCATATTAACCACTCCTAACACCTCCAGTTGCCTCAATTATCCACTCTATCACAACAAGTTGCCACATTAACACACTTTATCTTATTCAGTTGCCACACTAACCCACTCTATAACAACCAGTTGCTACATTAACTTACTCTATCACAACCAGTTGCCACTTTAATCACAACCAGTTGCCACTTTAACCCACTCTATTACAACTAGTTGCTCCATTAACCCACTCTATTACAACTAGTTGCTCCATTAACCCACTCTATCACAACCAGTTGTCATAATAACCACTTTATCACAACCAGTTGCCAAAATTGCTGACTATCAGAACCAGTTGCCACATTTACCCACTATATTACAACCAGTTGCTGCACTAACCCATGCTATCACAACCAGCTGCTAGAGTAACCACTTTGTAACAACCAGCTGCTACATTAACCCATTATATTACTCCCAGTTGCTACACTACTCAATCACAACCAGTTGCCACATTAACCCACTCTATCACAACCAGTCGTCATATTAACCCACTCTATCACAACCAGTTGCCATATTTATCCACTCTATCACAACCAGTTGCCACATTAACCCACTCTATCACAACCAGTCGTCATATTAACCCACTCTATCATGACAAGTTGTCACAATTATCCACTCTATCACAACCAGTTGCCACATTAACCCACTCTATCACAACCAGTCGTCATATTAACCCACTCTATCATGATCAGTTGTCACAATTATCCACTCTATCACAACCAGTTGCCACATTAACCCACTCTATCACAACAAGTCGTCATATTAACCCACTCTATCATGACCAGTTGCCATATTTATCCACTCTATCACAACCAGTTGCCACATTAATCCACTCTGTCCACAGCCAGTTGCTATATTAACCCACTCTATCAAACAAGCCTTCTATATTAACCCACTCTATCAAACAAGCCTGCTATATTAACCCACTCTATCAAACAAGCCTGCTATATTAACCCACTCTATCAAACAAGCCTGCTATATTAACCCACTCTATCAAACAAGCCTGCTACATTAATCGACAATATCACGCAAGTTGGCTACATCAAACATCTATCCCATATGGGTGCTATTGCTATACTATCCCATATGGGTGCTATTGCTAAACTATCCCACTTGTAAACTTGGTACGGTATAGTTGAAAATTGGGAGAGTGGGGGGGGGGGGGGCAAAATGAGTGGTAGAATATGAAGGGGGAAGTGTGAGTAGTAGAAAATGAGAGAGCTTCAGAAAAGTGAAAAACATATATTGAAAACTACAGACAGAAGACCCTCCATCAACTGCTGTGACGAGCGGAAGTCGCTATGGCAACTGACCAGCTACCGGCAAAGGCACACATCCGGTCTAGCAAAAATTCTGTCACAAACAGAAGCCGTAGAGAAACGGCTTGGCGGGAATTATCATATCAATGTTCACACTACATACATGCATGGCTTCTAGTGAGACGGGGTGGGAAGCGAGCTAAATGCACAACTGACATTATGACTATCAGTATCCGTGCATTTACTTCTCGAAGCAAACAAAGTAGTCCAATGGTGGAGACTAGCTGAGACTTCCGGTAGATGCCGTAAAGTTACTGTGGCACATCCTTTATAGCAGTGGCTCTCAACCTTCATAATCCCGCGATCCTTTAATTAAAACAGTTCCGCAAGTTGTGGCGACCCCCATAATACAATTATTGTCGTTGCTACTCCATAACGACAATGAATATGTGTTTTGCGATGGTCTTTGGCAATCTATGTAGAAGGGTCGCGACCTACAGGTTGAGAAGTGCTGCTTTATAGCGTTCTTCAACTCGTTTCGCACCTGCGGACCGGGGAAATATGAGATATTTTTTCATGGACAGGAAAAATATGAGACATTTGGTGAAACAGGAAAAATATGAGACAGAATTCGTGGATAGGAAAATTATCAGACATATTGCCCGGACCGGCTGATAGCTAAGACAGAACCAAATACAAACGTACACATCATTTTATTTATTAGAAATAACTGTTATAAAATTTTAGTTTTTTAAGCTAATGTTACATCTGCTGCTTAGGGTTTAAAAAAATATTATATACGAGGCTAGAGCGTTGTTTCTGACAGATAAAACGCTGCCACAACATTCATTTAATTTTCAGTTTGTTAACTGTAGCCGCCAGGAAATGTCCGAGTGCCGGCACTGGTCAAACAGAGGCTGAGGACCAGGGCTTTATAGGGCATCGCAAACCAACACCACAATAGCAATTTTTTTGGCCGTTTGTGGTTTAACCAAGCAATTTTACCTTCAGTAGTTTGCCATTGCTTATTATCTGGTCGATGACCATACCGTTCACATCAATACAAATCCTTGCCGCCGAATCGAACCCTGGATGCTGGAACAGTGAAACTGTGTTCATAAGACCTATGCCCCAGGCGCGAGCAGTACACATTCTATGCTGTGGTATAAGGTTTAAAGAAAAAAGGGGTAGGGGTCTGATTCTCTTTCTCGCCACCTTTCTTCACCAGCAATGTCTTATAAAGATTTATGTGTTCATTTTCAAGGCGGGCCCACCCCAGGTCGGACAAAAGGGAATCTTTCCACCGCCGAAACGTGTTGAGTGTGTTGTTGAATGCTGACTGTATTGTTGAGTGTTAAGCTAAGAACTGACCTCTCAGCACCAGTGACATTCCCATAAGCGCTTCGTCCTCATCTTCAGCAACCAAAAAAGAGCTCTAATTGCGATGGTGCCAGTAGCAGTTTAATTACATGCCCATCTTGCATTTTTTCTGAGTGTAAAGCGTCGACCAGATTCCCTGGCCACTCCAAGCCATACCATTCTCTCCAGACCACAAGGATCTATTCGTGCATCTGCACTGATCACTTGCTCTCAAAGAGTCTTGTCCTGCACACATTCACCATCCACTGGTGCAAGAACTGCTCGGGGATAGAAGTTACAGAACCAAGACCAGTAGAAAAACACAACCCTCTCACTTTGTAAGTCGAGAAAGAACAAACAAAGATCAGTTTTGGCTGGGTCGAGCAGAGACAATACTTCAACGGACGATTCCCCTCAAGACATAAACCCTGGAGAGGTATGGATACCCGTACCAAATGAACACAAAGCCGTTTTTTTGAGTGGTGGTTATCACCCTGACAGGACAGTTCCGTGATTTGGCGCCACCAAAAGTTGATGCAGAAATGAAAGCATTGGTAGAGAAACACACATCACCGGAAGATGCTGTTATATATGGCGATGGCTCTGTGATTCGTCAGAAGCGATGTGTTTGGGCTTTCACGGTAAGAACCTCCGCTTGTGGGTTCCAGGTGCCCACTGTGGAGAAAACAAAAACAGACTCACTGCCTCTACAACCAGCATGTCGTAGGCGTCGAATAATTAGGGACATCCTGCAAAGTCAGAGTACATCTGACTGAGAAGCAAGGAACCACAAATCTGCATACATATAATCCAGATCTGTGAAACGGACGTGCATGCAGTTCTCAGGTTCTGGAACAAGACTAAAATGCAGAGGTGGACGAATACCCAAAACTTTCCGCTTGAGTTTACAGCCAGTGAAAGCGAAGAAGAAAGAAGAAGACACCAAGAACGAACGGGAAATTCCTTAAAGAAGACAAAAGAGCCTTTGCCTCTTCCAATAGCAGCATGACAATTGAGGTCAAGTCTGTGACAAAGGTGCTAGAATGGCTGAAATTTCCGGAATTCGCCAATGCTTGCTTGCTCAGCGACTCAATCAACATGCTACAGAAGATCAAGGCGGGGGACACATGGAAACTGTGGATCCATCTGACACAGCACGCAGCGTTTCGCATCATCACCTTAATATTTTGTCTCAGCATATGCTGGTGTAAAAGGTGATGAGAGAGCTGATGCTCTGGCTGGCAGTGCGACTATCAAGAATGGGTCATCTATGGATATAAAGGACAT